TCCCTCGGCGGAATCGTGGCGTTACTACGCTTCCAACCACTACTACATGGCGAAACACTCCAACTCCGCCGCAAGTTTCCCCACGATATACCCAATCCGCCAATCAAACTGCCCCCCAACAATACCCAACTAATGGGCAGCAGTCCTATGTAAGTATTCACTTTGCAACCGAATGATGTAGTTCGCTCTCATAGTAATAATATATTGCAGCTTCCAACTCAAGAGGCCCAGCCATACGGACAACCACCCCAAGACTTAATTGATCTTAGCGCATTACATCGTGATATAGAAAATCTGATCTCGACCGCTCGAACTGACTTTGCAAACAATCCACTTGATCCCTCACTTCAACAAAAGCTTAAAGCCCTTCTAGACCTCCAGAACATCCTGCAACAGCAAAAATTACCTCAAGACCAGCTAAAACTCATTCGAGATCAGGTATCTCAGCTTTCACCAACGCCCCAACCCCAGCTGCCCCCTCGAGTTGTTCCAACTCCTCCCGTAACACAGGGACCAGTTCAACCAATACAAAGCCACACCCCTCAGCCAAACCTTCAATCTCTTCTGAATCCAGCTACAATTGCCGAGCTTATAAAGGCGACAGCAAACCAGCAAAGCCGAACGCCGCCGCCACCACCGCTGCCCCATATCGCGCCGTTTCTACAGCCTCAGGCTACCAGCACTCCGCCTCCCCCCGCACACTCTACAGCACCTAACCTAGCAGAGAATCCCCTGATTGCTTCTCTTAGAGCTCGAGGCCTCCTTCCACCCCCCGCTGCTTCTGCTCCACCGACACCTCCCAATCTACCTTTCATTCTCCCCGGACAATCGGTATATACGCCACCTGCTGTTATATCACAATTACCCAACCCACTTGAAGTCAAAATTAATATCCAAATGACTTCAGCGTCCATCAGGATGTAAGCTCCCTTGTAGTAAAATAATAGAATAAAGTGAATAATGCCCGTAAAAAAGTCTATACATTAACAATTTCCCTACCCACTCTATCTAGCCCGAGGCCGAACTTAATTTCTACCCTGTACGAAGAAAAGTCGAACCGATGTGGTACATGCGGTCGACGCTTTTATTCGGATGACCAAGGAAAAGAGAAAAAAGCAAGGCACTTGGATTGGCACTTCAAAACCAATCAGCGCATGACGGAAGCATCCAAGCGTGGACAGAGTCGTAGCTGGTATCTGGATGAACGGGTAAATAAACCATGCTCCTTTCTTTTTTTAGGAAACCACCTAGATTACAGTTATTAACGGCCAAAAAAACACAGGAATGGATAAAATCTCGAGAATTTGATGACGATACTGGCGGTCCAACAGGCGATAGTGCAACTTCCGCGAACGGGTCGATGTCAGATTCGACTGCGGCTGCGGCAAAGAAATCGTCGCAAAAGCAATGGATCCATGCACCCAATGACGCAGCGCTACGCAATGCTCCATGCCCAATATGCCAGGAGAAATTCGAGTCGACATGGTCTGAGGAGGCGCAAGATTGGATCTGGCATGATGCTAGTAAAGTGGGGGGTCGTATATATCATTCCAGCTGCTATTCAGAGGTCGCGAAGGATGGCATAACAACGGGACGGGGTACACCGGTGGGTAGAACGGGGACTCCAGACTCTGTCCTGGGGAAACGGAAAGCAGAGGTATGATATCACCCTCCATCCTTACCAGTCTCAAATCAAATCGTGCGTGTATATATATATGTACTGTTCGTATATACTAACTTGTACTTTCTCTCTATTATTATTATTATTATTATTTACAGGAACCAGAAAATGTCACAACTAGCGTTAGAATAAAAACTGAACCTGTGTCATGACATTTTCTACTCTTCAAAGAATTTTCTCTTTTATGTATTGGGCGCTTTCTATAGACAACCCCTATACCCTCCCGAAACTCGCATCTCTGCCTGACAAATTTTGTCCTATTAATCATGACGTCGTCAGTAAGGCCGTTTAAGGACGGCCTTATGTATCCAAATCTCCCCGACCCCTTTTCCCACTTCAGCGTAATGTACTAGCTTCTCATGGCATGTAATATCCGTCTGATGCTTCGACTCAGACTGCGTTATTACGTTGTTCACTTGTTATCATAGGATGGCTGTGGCGCGGCGTGGCGCGGCGTCACTCATATATTGAGCTGATAATGTCACTTGATTTATCGAGGTGTTTCTCCTTTTTTTATTTATTTGGCTTTTGTATGTTGGCTGTAGGAGTTATTGTTGTAGTAAGTGCTTCTGTAACTGTGCAGCATCCATGTGCAGGACATTAAGATCACATCGGTTTAATCGATTGTTTTCAATGATTTTGTTCTTTTGATTTTTGTTTTTCAAATAAATAAATAAATAAAATGAAATGGAATGAAATGAGCACCCTCAATAACTCCTCCATACAATTGACGACTACAAAATCAGCTTGGTATTGCCCATTTTCCACCCGACATCCCAATCCCGGACGCCACGAAATTCCCATCGGCATGCCGAAACCCTAACCCGATGTTCCATAGCCCCGCCGTGGTCTGTGGACAGTTACATCGCCTGCAGTGGGGAACTTGGAACCGGCAAACCATAGCTACTGTACTGTAGAAGATGTCTTTTTTCTCTATCAACCCAGTCCACGCTTTGCCCTCTCACAGCGAAGTTATCTGCCACCGTGCTAATTTCCCCTTTACCGCATACGATTGCTAGCTTTCCTGAACCTAGTATTCCCATTGAATACTATCGTTTATTGATGAATCCAGAAGCAATGGCGGAGCCATATAATATTCGGTGGGGGTTTATGGGTAAGTTGAACACTGCATTCCACGTCTTCCCTCTCGATTATGATTGTAAAAACAAAAGCACTCTGTTTCAATAGAGAAAGAAAGTCTACTGATACGTAAATTACCCCGCTTAGCGACGGGAGGAATTGCCAGATGTAAGATAAAAAAAACAAATGATGATAAAACAACCTAAAGAAAGCCCATCAAACAAAGAACAACACACAAAATACCCCGATGAAACGCTCCAATCCAACCCCCGCGCACCCCAAAATATCTATCTAACAATGACACTTCCATCACCCAGCGTTCGCACGGGACATGCTCATCGACCCCTCCCTCCGCAACGCCTCCGACATCTCCCACACAATCGCCGCCGTCGCATCCTCCACCTCGCGCGAGCGGGCGCAGAGATTCATCACCGACAACGCCATCCCGCAACCATGCACCGCCCACGGCTCCTACGAGGCGCTCGTCAACGACCCAAACGTCGACATCGTTTACATCGCCACCCCGCACTCGCATCATTTCCAGAACGCCATGCTGGCGCTGAATGCGGGGAAGCATGTGCTCTGTGAGAAGGCGCTGACGGTCAATGCGGCGCAGGCGCGGATTCTGGTTGAGACGGCGCGCCGGCGCGAGCTGTTTTTCATGGAGGCGGTATGGACAAGGTTCTTCCCGCTGTCCGTGCAAATTCGCGAGCTGGTTGCCAAGGGCGAGATTGGGGAGGTTTTGAGGGTTATTGCCGATACGAGCTGTGGGAGCACAGACCCGGAGGGGGAGTGGGGGACGGCGCATCGGATGGTTAATATGGATTTGGCCGGCGGGGTTTTGCTGGATGGTAAGTCTATATATTATTTAAAATATTTATTCTTCTTTATTCTCCAGTCCCCTTGATATCCTGTCTTGGCAACTAGTCAAGTTGAAATTTTTTTTTGTTAATAAAACCCACCCTGGATGCAGTGGGCGTCTACTCCCTAACATGGGTCTTCCAAACCCTCTACCACACCCGGCCCCTCGCCGACCGCAAACCACCCTCCTCCATCAGCTCCCAGATGATCCACTACCCCGCGACAGGGGCCGATGAATGCAGCACCATCCTGCTCGAATTCCCGCAATCGACGCCCGCCGGCACGCATAAAGCTCAGGGTATCGCAATGACAAACTTCCGCCTTATCTCTAATCTGGACGGGAAATGGACTGCGGGGCCCACGGTGCGCATCCAGGGCACGCGGGGCGAGATTCAGGTCTTCGGGTACCCATTCCATCCGGAGAGTTTTAAGGTGATTTCCCTTACGGGTCCTGGGGAAGCTGGTGACGCACGAGAGGTTAGGGAGGTCGTGGGTGAGTTTCCGGGGGAAGGAAAAGGGATGTATTGGGAGGCTGATGAGGCTGCGAGGTGTGTGAGAGATGGGAAGTTGGAGAGTGAAACGATGTCGTGGGAGGAAAGCTTGGTGATCATGGATGTCATGGATGAGGCGAGGAGGCAGGGTGGGTTGAAGTATCCGGATGAGATTGAGTCGACGGAGTATCCGGTCACGCTCGGGGGGAAGAAGGGGGTTGCTTAGATTGTGAGAATGAATAATTGTATAAAGGAATCGTTGGTTGGATGATTGCTTTCTGAGATGGCCGGAATCGGTTAGCTAGTGATAGTTTTCATCTGCAAAACGGAGCACCAGATGCCCTCAGCAATCTACAAATGATATAAACCAAAACTGACTTCGCACCGCCAAATCAGTGTCAGTGTTATGTTTCCCAAGTAAAGCTGGCACCTTCCACAGAGAACTAGAGGGAGTAAGTGAAAAAAAAAAACAAAGAAAATGACTAGAGGAATCCGGGTTTGGGAGGAGGGCATCTCGTCTTATTCGCTATTTAATGGTCTCATCTCTCTTGACTGCATGTGTATTAAAGTAAAAAATGAAAAATGAAAATGAAAAATCTTTTTTAAATAAAAGTCTCACATCTCCTCCACCGCAGCTCCGCACTCCCCCTTTTCTTTTCATTGACTTCCCTTCAACATGACGATGGTTTCACATTTTCTTTTCTCTTTGGTCCTCAGTAGCAGGTATTCATTGAAAGAAAGAAAAAAAATGATGACCTGGTGGGAGACAAAACAAAGGTAGTAATTGCTGAACAGAATGTCTCACCAGGCATGTTCTGCTGCCAAATTGAAAAGAGCGCCAAAAAAAGGGGTGCGGTCGGTACATTTGAACAGAAAATGAAAAGAGGGAAAAAATCTTCGTTTTTTCACAATAAACAGAGCCCATGCGAAAAACAAGTTGAATCACAAAGTGAAGTAATCCCATGCACATGGATTTAACAAAAGCAGAAAGGGAAAAAAACGCAGAAAATAGGCTCCGCAAACATAAATACAAGCCCTCCATCCTCAGGGACAATGATATTCGCTCTCCTTTTTTCATCGTAAGGACCAGGTCTTGCGGGATATGGACATGGCGCTGATTGTCGTACGATTGGCATTGAGTAATGGGCGAAGACAACAGTTCCTTGTTTGCGGATAGAGAAAAGAAGAGCGAAATTCAATGGCTTCATCTTCAACGAGCCGTACCAGGGGCGACCGTCTCTTCAATGACATCCTCTACGTCGGTGGGCGAAGTAGAGGCATCGACAGTCACATCATCAACCTTCGGGGGGGCGGGCTCCTCCTCCTTGGCATCGACATTGACGGGCGCCACCTCAGGAGTCTAAGACTATGGCGTCAACACACACAACCACCTTTGGAACACGAGAATTTTGTCACACAGGTCATCAATCGGGTTGTTCCAAAAAAAAAAAAAAAGAATATGAACAAGTAGGTATTCTTAAATCTGAGTGTGCATGTCTTGGGCTTTGTGATTGATCTTTGGTGCGACGAAGTAGGGGATAAACTTACGAGACGGCCGGGCTGCTCGTCAACGGCCATTGCCGAAGCAGCGACCTCGCCAAGTTGACCAAGGTCGGCCAAGTTCATAGTACGGGGCATGGTGCGTATTTCTGGGTAGACTTCGAGTTCGCGACCGTCATGGCGAGTTATAGCTGCAAAGGGGGAGGAATGGGCAAGTGGAGGGATATATCTTAGCAAGTTTTCCCACGAACGAAACAGGGGTAGAACTGATAGAGAGGGGGTTTTTGGAAGAGGTTATAAACAAAACAACATAATCTCCTGAAATAAGAACAACAGAAGAAGAAGAAGAAGAAGAAGAAGAAGAAGAAGAAGAAGAAGAAGAAGAAGAAGTTAAAAAAGGGCTTTGAAGATCTTATGTATTTCTCCTGCACATTTTCATCTGATTCTACCTGAGAGAATGTGTATATATGGGAATAGAAAACTTACGACGCAAATTATGCATGTTCAGGTCCAATGTGGTCTGCGGGCTAAAAGGTAACCGCAATGATGAAAAAGAGTCAAGATATTAGCCATCTGATCACAAAGCTTCATAAATAACTGAAATAAATGTCAGGGGATGTGCAAAAAGGCCCCAAGTTGCCAGCAGTAAAAAAGAACAAGCAAACAGTTGTGGATTTCACCTGCTTGGAGTTGGGAAAAGGGGCTAGAAATGAGTAGCTAAAGGGGGAGGACAAATCTATATCTGTTTGCTCCTTTTGGGAGAAGAGGACTTACAACTGAGGAGACCCAATCTCCAGGCCACGGACAGTAACAGACTCATCATCACTATCCTCATAGCGACTAAAGCAGGAGAAACAGGTGCCCATTTTCTCACAAAGAGTGGGAATGAATCCGAATCTTTTTAGATTTAAAGAGAAATTAAAAGGGGTGGAGGATGTAGCTGGTGAGCAAAAGGCCAGGGGAAATCTGTAGACTGTGTGCAGGATGACAAACAACGACGAGAAGCGTGATGAAAGAGAGTGAGGAGAGAAGAAAGGGAGGAGGAGAAGGAGAGATTGCCTGTGTGGAGGAGAAAAGAAAGAGGCTGTTTGGGGGAAAACCACAACCAGCTACAACACAACACACAACACAACAGTGGTATTCACTGTTTGTCTGATCACGCCATCTCAGGGAGGGAGATGGCTGCAGTCACCCAGCAACAGGAGGCCAGGCAGATGCAGGCAGATGCAGGGAGAGGTGCAGAGAGTCTTCTTTTTTTTTAATTCTTCCCCTTTTTTGTCAGAATTAAAGATGTGATAGAAATGAATAGTAGCTTTTATTCATGTCAAACCCCCCCGAGTGATTCTCCAGATCTCCAGATCTTTCTCATATCTAATTGACTGCCAGGTAATGCACAGGCATTAAAAAGAGAGGGCGAGGGGTTTAGGGTATCAATATCAACCATCACATTGAAAGGAAGATAAAAGCACAAATAATCCTCCTATATCCATATAGCCGAGGAAGAAGGAAGAAGAAATTAAGAACAACCGCAACATTGCTCATATGGAGAGAGAACGAAAAGAAAAGAAATGAAATGAAATGAAACGAAACGAAAAGGCGAAGAAAAGCCAGAGACAAAAGCAACTCAATATATAACCATCACTGGCTGGTCGCTCTTTATTGAACAACGGCGGAAAAGGTATTGTATGCAAAATGTTCTTTCCTTTCTATGTACGAGCAAATCCGAGGTCCCTTGTTTGGATGTAAGTTGCTTACCGGGTTTTATCACCAACTCAAAGAGAGGAAGAAGAAAAAGAAAAAGAAAGATTAGAAGGCCAAATAGAAGCTTTTTGCGTATACAATCATGGACACATATATAAGATTTCCCCAGTTGGGGGGTAGGTAAAAGGGGCAGGATCCATTACTGAAACACCGGAGAGAATACAACCTAGGAGGGAATCCGTTAGGGGAAACCGGACGATGATCGTTATGATGGAAAGAAAAGAGTAAGAATATATATAAAAAACGAAAGAAAGAAAGAAAGAAAACAAGAAAAGAGGAACCGGGCCGAATGAGACGGAATACACACACGCACACGCGCGCGGACGGGGAGCGGGAGGAAGAGAGAACTCTGGAGGAGAACTAGGGCGAAACAACGTTTCATTAACAAACAATAATCAGGCTAGTCTTATTTCGACAAGCCGATCTTGCCAAGTATCCCACTCGAGGACGCAGCCTTATCCGCATCGAAGACTTGCAGCAGGCTCTTCCACACCTGTCCAGGCTCCTGGCTAGCATCGATCCCCTTCCAGATGCCGGTGGTCTTGTAGTATCCCACAACAGGTTCCGTCTGCGAGTGGTATGTCTTCAGCCTCTTCTTCAGCGCATCCGCGTTGTCATCTGACCGCTGGATCAACGGCTCGCCGGTGACATCATCCTTCATGGCCTCCTTTGGCGGGTTGAAGATCTTGTGATACGAACGTCCTGAAGCGGGATGCACCAGGCGGCCAGTTATCCGTGCAACGAGGAGAGAGTCGTCAATCTGGAGCTCGACGGCATGCTGAAGCTTCTGGCCGCGGGAATTCAGCATGCCGTCTAACCTTTCAGCCTGGGCGACAGTGCGGGGGAATCCGTCCAGGATAAAGCTGGTGATTTACAACCAAATGCAAAAATTGCATTTTTCTCGAGTCAGAAAAATATGCACGTGTAAGAAATAAATCGGCAGAGAAGGGAAACGGGAGGATCATAACCCCGTAAAAATGGGGCAGAATAGGAGGGGGCAGTTTCTTCTTTACCCGTTCTGGCACTCCTTGTTATTTTCCAATTCGTGTTTGATCATGTTAACCATAATCTCATCGCTAACCAATCCGCCTTGGTCCATGATCTTTTTCGCTTCCTTGCCCAACTCGGTCTTGCGAGCGACTTGTGATCGTAACATGTCTCCGGTAGCCTACGGATAAATGGAAAGATAAAAAAACACACACACGATTCAGTCAGCCAAGGTTGTAGTTTTTTGCTTTCATTTATTTTCATTGAACAAATGCACTCACCAGGTGACACACGCAGAACTTGTCCTTGATTTTGGGTGCTTGCGTTCCCTTGCCTGCAAAAAGGAAGATCATTAATATTCAGCCATTTTGATTGTGTAGTACGCATATGTTTATTTTCAATGTGTGTATATATATATGTGTGTGGTGTATACGTAAAATGGGAGTGGGAGCGGAGGAGAGAACACACCAGCGCCTGGAGGGCCCATCAAGATCATCCGCACAGAGTCTGTGATGGACTTTGGTTGTGAAGAGCCGCCTCCGTGAAGTAATCGCCCTTCCAATTGAACCACCCGCGACTCCAGCTCGCTGATGATGCTCTTAAGGCCATCGATTGTCTCGTCCTTGATAGGAGCCATTGTACAGAATGAAGTGGCGGGGATGCGAGGCGGGATGCAGATTGGGGGTGGTTGACGGAGAGGAGGAAACGGCCAGTCTGATCAAGATCCAGGGACAAGGTAGGGAACGAGAAGACGAGCGGCTGTTCTGTTGGAGATGTGCGGTGTAAGTTTAGAAATGGTAGCAGTAGGTACCGTAGCAATCTCTTAGAGCAGAGAAGGTTGGGTTTTTTTTTTTTTTTTTTTAGAGCGGTTGAAGTTTGGATGGGCCAAGGAAACACGACGAACCGGGAGTTGGGATGGAATGAACCAAACGAACTAACAACAGCTTTCTCCCGCACGGCCGAGGTGCGCTTCGAGACGACTTTTCCGCGCATGCCCTCTGCTAGCTCCTCTGCTTTGAGTTAGCCATGTCCAGCTAAACCACAGACGTCTTTAGGCAAGGAACGCCAGTGTGCACAGAGGATCCCATAGGTCTACTGCCAGGCACCAAATTTGAACAGACAACGGGGAATCCAGTATTTCATTCAGCTGAAGCCAGGGAACAAAACTGTGCCTGGGCACTCAGTGCAAGCCAAATGATTCCGGAGGGTTTAACCATCGAGGCAAAAATATTTACAATTGAATACAGCTATACATGTGTTTCCTTTAACCACTCTCTCTATTCCACTTAAATAGATTCGTCCTATTATTTTACTCTCTATTCTACCTGTCCGTTCCGTGGAAGTCATAGTCCATGCATTAATTATCGATACTGGGATTGTTTGTTTGAATATCCCAAATGTGGGCGGGCAAGCCACGGCTTCTGCACCAGCCACAAGCCTCTGAGCCCATTAGTCAGCATCTCTTCCCAGCTTCAAAGAAATCCATGGATATGAGCTTCAAAAGAAGATCACCTCAAATAAACCAGCCAATCACTATTGAATAGTTCCTGCTCTCCACGACTATCCCTTAACTCCTAAACTCCCTTCTCTAACCCAGCATGCCTGCAACCACCGCAGACACCCTGTCCATGGTGACACGTACTGTCTCCGTCGCCCCATTAGTCCTCCTCTCAGTCGCAGACCACTACGGACGTTCAGCAAAGGGAACGAGAAGACGGGTAGTCGGAGTTCTTCTGGGCCAAAATGATGGAAGGAATGTCAGAGTCTCGAACAGCTTTGCTGGTATGGTTTAATCGCCTTATCCTCTCCCTTTCATTTTTCCCATCCGCTAAACGCAAGATTCGATACCGCATACAGTGCCCTTCGAGGAAGACGACAAGGACCCTTCTGTCTGGTTTTTAGATCACAATTTCGTCGAGTCCATGAATGATATGTTTAAGAAGATTAATGCTCGTGAGAAGCTTATCGGATGGTATCACTCTGGTCCCAAGCTCAGAGCGGCAGATCTTGAGATCAACGAGCTTTTCAAACGATACACACCAAATCCTTTGCTAGTTATCATTGACGTGCAACCAAAGGAGGTTGGAGTCCCCACAGATGCCTACTTTGCTGTTGAGGAGATTAAAGATGTGAGTGCGCGTTGTTTACCTTCCATGATATTCATGACGTTACCGGCGCTAATCCTGTCACAATAGGACGGAACAACCACTGCCAAAACTTTTGTCCACACCCCTTCCATAATCGAAGCTGAAGAAGCGGAAGAGATCGGTGTTGAACATCTCCTCCGGGACATAAGAGATGTTGCCGTTGGCACCCTGTCCACCCGCATCACATCTCAACTACAGTCATTACAAGGCCTCCACCTCCGGCTCAGAGATATCGGCCAATATTTACAAAAGGTGCTAGATGGCGACCTACCTGTCAACCATGCCATTCTCGGAAACCTTCAGGACGTCTTCAATCTTCTCCCCAACCTTTCCACCCCCAAGACAAACAACTCACAAGTAAACGGAATGGAACCATCACAGATAGAAAACACAGAACTTGCACGTGCCATGAGCATCAAGACCAACGACCAGCTTATGGCTATTTATCTTAGTAGTCTGATTAGAGCCATCACTGCTTTCCACGACCTTATCGAGAACAAGATCCAAAACCGCCAACAGCAGGAAGAACAAGAAGCAAAGAAGGAAGATGAGAAAAATGGCACCACAGCGAATGGCAATGGCAATAATAACAATAATTCCCAAAATTTCAAGGCTCCGGCCAACAACAACGATTCCAAGCAAGAGCAAGAGGACACGAAGGAGAAGGGGAAGAAGGGATGATTTTGATTTTGCTTTCTTCCGTTCTCTCGCTGCTCGATCCTTCTCTATTTTCCTTGAAACCTATCCCGCCCTACTTTGTGTCCCCTACTCCCTTTCACGCTTTCTACCTTATGGTTGGTTAGCTTAGCTCTTTCCCACCCATTTATCGTTGACGACTCTGTCAAGCAGCATTATGTCGAATTTCATGTAAAATCAACCGCCATGAAACAAATTAGAGTTCGTACTCCTTCCTCTCCCCTTACAATACCTAATGTCTCCTTTTGTGGTGGGTTCAGGTTAGGAGCGAAGTCGACACCATGTAAAGACGCCATCTCCGGCACCAAGGGTCTTTTGACATATAGAGAGCTTGGCCCAGTTATTTAAGGACGGTTTCTAGTTTCTATTTCTATGGAAAACTCTTGGAAGACAAGCTGCTTCCAGGCGCTCATAAAACGTCTAGCTCTTCATGGATACAATGATCTATATACGAGAGGGAAAGAGGGGGGGGAGGGGGGGGGGGGGGGGGGGGTGGTGAGAGAGCACCAAATTAGCAATTCCTTGTAGCTTAACTGGGGGTTGCCGGTTTGCTGCAGGTTTAACTAACCATCCCTCCTTACATTGGAATATCCGATGTAAAAAGCACATTTCAATATTGCGAAGTAACTAAATACACGTCGACAATACTCTTCGACTCTTTTCTTTCCCCCCTCCTCTTTCCCCAAACTCTGTCTATGCCATTTATACCACCCTCTTCTTTCTTTTGCCCAAATGAAAACTAGCCCCAAACACCGTATAAACTCCCAAACACCCATGGGTATATCGTCATGAACACAAACCAAAACTCCCTTTAAAGTTACATTACAAAAAGGATGGAAAAACCAGTCTGAGCCTAGGTTAGTGCAACTCTCCCAGCCATCTCCACTTCCCCTTGTCCTTCCCCTTTACCATCCCTCTCGTCAACAACAACCGTCTCCACTCCACCACCAAACAATGCCGGGCAAAGGCTCCCCAACACACAGGCGAGAAGGTGCTTGCACACGGGTGTTTCGTGGTGGCTATTCTTCATCGAGTCTCTGGTTAATGTGCCGCCAAATGGGAAAGGGGTTGTAGGTGTAGATGTAGATGTAGATGCAGGTGCAGATGAAGAATTATTTCCCCTGTGCAAGTCGTCGTCGTTGTAAGTATAACGTGGAAGAGGGGCGGAAAGAGGGTTACTTTCTTCCCCTTTGCATCTGCTTCTGCCCTCGTCTTCTTCTCCAGGACCGCTGCTTTCTTCTTCTGCCATTGCGGTCTCAGGAGAACCCAGGTGTTGAAATGCGGCCAGGGCAAAAGCGGGACAGGAGCAGTGCCAGGCATTTAGGCAGACGAGGTGGGTTTGGGGGGGATGGTTGGAATTGGGATCTGTATCAGCATTTGGTGAAGAGTGGACAAAGTATATTCCCAGGTCTATATTTTCTCCTCTATATTGCGGTCGCTCTTCTGCTGCTGCTGCTGCCGCGGCCACCGCTGCTGGTGGTAATGGTGATAGTGATGATCTGTATTGCTCACGATGATACACATCGTACCTCTTTATCCCCTTCCGGTCCAGGATATCCAGAGCCAAGAGAAGTTCATTCGGGAAGAGGCAGTGTAGAGTTAGGAGGAGGGGTTTTACTTTAAAGAGGATGGGAGCCGGAAGTTGGGTGAGTGGGTTGTTGCTATTTGTTCCTGCAGATGGAAGGCTATGAGGTTGATATTGGGTATCGTTATTATTCTGGTCTGGAGGAGCTGTTCCGCCTGGTGGTGGGTGGAATTTGGATAGCTGATTAACTATTGAGGTGATGAATTGAGGTGTGTTGGGGAGGCGCCCTTCCATTGCTATGTTTTTCTGAAACTTTCAAAATAAAATGAAAGAGTTGTTGTACGTGGCTCATGTTTTCATTTTTTGATGTTGGATTATAGTTTATAGCCCTCTTTCTTGGTAAATCTGAAATCCCACTGCCCCCTAAAATTTATAAACCTATATTTGTTCGCCAAAAGCCAGCTGGACGAACACAGGAAAGGAATTTGTTACTTGACACGGGAAAGCTACAACTCAAAGTAGCCATTTTCCATATATCGCTTGTCATCTACTTTGTTAAATAGTTGCGTAAATCCTCGCATGATAGAGCAACGAAGTAATATGCTTTAGGGATAAAACACGCGCTACCTATGCAATATGCTCTGTCCAACGAGCTAGGAAAGAAAAAAAGGAACAAAGGAAGATATTAGTTAATTAATTAATTAATAGAAAATAATATTATTGAATAAAAGGGAAGGGATGAAGAGAAAAATGAGGCGAAATAGCCCCCAATTGTCCTCCATCTTGCAAGCTCCTGCAATGTCGTCCATCGGTCGTCGCATTTTCGCGCTGGGGAAAACGAATTGGACGCTTCAGCTGGTGCAGGAGCTTAGCAGGACCGAAGGCCACTTGAGCTTGAAAATCCTCCTTGGCCACCAGGACATCAAGTGCAACCCGAATCTTCATCGTCTATACCAGGGGGGGGGGGGATCACGCTTAGTCATCTCCCAGTCCTCTTCCCCGCCGATACCGCAATCCGCCATTTTTTTAATTTTTCTTTTTCTTTTTGAAAACAGTCATTTGTTCAATGACCAGCATGAACATGCTGTCCGATTTTCCCACAAAAAGCCCCTTTCGTTTGGTCGGTAGTTTGGTAGACTAACGTATTCGTCTTTTGTATATCGTCGAAGAATTTGGTTTCTCTGGGTTCTCCTCACAATCTAACAATGGAGGAGTTACCAGATCCCACTACTGACCTGGACTGGTCTGGCTACGTCGGGTCAATCCAATCGCATTTCGCGGAGAATGCAAGAAAATATCCAGACCGAATATGTGTGGTAGAAACGAAGTCGTCTGAAGCTCCGGAGAGGAGATTCACATACAGACAGATCTATGAAGCATCAAACACCCTCGCACATTACCTTCATGATGCGGGAGTTACCAATGGGGATGTTGTGATGGTCTGGGCGCACCGGTCTGTTGACTTAGTTGTCAGCATTATGGGAACTTTGGTATGTTCGATTCCTTGTTTACCATTAGCTTTTACTTTTGACTGCTCCGATCCAGTCGATTGGTATACTAAATTAAACACCTCGCTTGCTGTAGATGTCTGCTGCAACTATGAGCATCCTCGATCCTGCCTACCCACCAGCCAGGCAGAAAATATATCTAGAAGTCTCCCAGCCTTGCGCATTGGTTAATATTGCAAGAGCAACGGACGAGGCTGGCCCTCTGGCGCCGACGGTACGAAAATATATCGATGAGGAGCTTAAGCTGAAGGCCGAAGTCCCGTCATTGCGCATTCATAGCAACGGGTTCTTGTCCGGGGGTGAGATTGAAGGCCAGGATATTTTTGGCCACGTCAGATCGAAGGCGTCTTCTTCTCCAGATTCGCTCGTAGGTCCTGATAGTAATCCCACTCTCTCGTTCACCTCCGGCAGTGAAGGAAGACCTAAGGGTGTTCTGGGCCGTCATTTCAGTTTAGCCAAATACTTTGGCTGGATGGCTCAGAGGTTTGAGCTTACTTCAGAGAGTCGATTTACTCTCCTGTCTGGAATTGCGCATGATCCCGTCCAAAGAGATATTTTTACTCCACTCTTTCTTGGCGCGCAATTGTTGGTTCCCTCGAAGGAGGATATCCAACATGAGAAGCTTGCAGAATGGATGGCTGAACACAAGCCTACAGTTACTCATTTAACACCGGCAATGGGTCAGATTCTCGTTGGAGGCGCGTCGGCAAAATTTCCATCCTTAGACAGAGCCTTTTTCGTTGGCGACGTTTTGACTACGAGAGACTGTCGGAGTTTGAGGGATCTTGCCGTCAACGTCAACATAGTCAACATGTATGGGACCACAGAGACGCAGCGCGCAGTAAGTTACTATGAAATACCGAACCGGGTGAAGGACCCTAATTACTTGGACAAACTCAAGGATACCGTACCAGCTGGCAAGGGTATGAAGGATGTTCAACTCCTGGTTGTCAATCGTGATGATCGAGCCAAGTTATGTAAGATTGGAGAAGTAGGAGAGATCTACGTCCGCGCCGCCGGCCTTGCTGAGGGTTACAAAGGGGATCAAGCTTTGAACGACCAAAAGTTCCTTATGAACTGGTTCGTGGACAATGAGAAATGGGTCGAAGCTGACAAAAAGAACGACAAAAACGAGCCGTGGAGGAAGTACTACCTTGGCCCAAGGGATAGACTTTACCGGACTGGTGACCTCGGTAAATACCTGGAAACGGGAGATGTGGAGTGCACCGGTCGTGCTGATGACCAGGTCAAGATCCGCGGTTTCCGAATCGAGCTTAATGATATCGACAATAATTTGCGCCAACACCCGTTGATTAGAGACTGCAAAACTCTTGTCCGGAGAGATCGAGACGAGGAGCCCACACTTGCGAGTTACATTGTCCCTGAGCTAAAACAATGGCCACAATGGTTGAAAGATCGAGGCATCGAGGACATTGAGGACGAGGGAACTGATATTGGCCCTGTGGTTATCTATACGAAACGGTTCAGACGAATGCAAACAGAGGTACGGGATCATTTGAAAGATCGCTTACCTGGCTACGCTGTTCCGACGATTTTCATTGTCCTCAATAAGCTGCCACTTAACCCTAATGGGAAAGTCGACAAGCAGAAACTCCCGTTCCCTGACATTGCAGAACAGTCTGTGCCAGCTTCCTCAGAAGACTTGAGGAGATGGGAGTCAATGTCTGAGACGGAACGGGCTGTTGCAACCAAGTGGGCCAATCTCATTCGTGGCGTGAACGCAAAAACTATTACCCTACAGAATGACTTCTTCGATCTTGGAGGTCACAGCATATTAGCTCAGCAGATGCTACTGACTGTCCGCAAAGAAATGGGAGCGAATATCTCAATAAATACACTCTACGAGTACCCAAGCCTAGGCGGATTTAGTGCTCAAGTTGACAAACAACTTAATATAAAGAACAGCATGGTCAAAGCTGGTGCCGCTGCGGAGGAGGAGAAAGATTCCATCTATTCCAAATCTCTGGAGGACCTCCTCAAGCAGCTGCCAGCTACTTATCAAACAGCGGACCCAGATGCTATCCGCAAATCCCCTCAGCCTACAGTCTTTCTTACTGGTGCAACTGGCTTTTTAGGCACTTACATTATCAAGGACATACTGGAGAGGACCAGCCGTATTATAAAGCTGATTGTCCACGTGAGGAGTGTCAAGGACTCCCAAGCGGCACTTGATCGGCTACGAAGATCCTTACAGGGCTATGGCTTATGGCAAGCGGAGTGGGCGGGCCGATTAAGCTTCGTTGTCGGAGATTTATCGAAACCACAACTTGGCATTGACCAGCAAAATTGGCAGGCCTTGGCCAAGGAAGTCGATCTGGTTATCCACAATGGTGCGGCGGTCCACTGGGTTAGACCGTACAATGATCTGGTGGCGTCAAATGTCCTTTCGACGCTTGACGCGATGAGGCTTTGCAATGAAGGGAAACCAAAAATGTTCACATTTGTTAGCTCCACAAGTGTACTCGACACAGATCACTATGTTAAACTCTCAGATCAGCACCTTAGTACAGGTCGAGATGCCATTTCAGAAGATGATGACATGGAGGGCAGTCGAACTGGTCTGGGGACTGGCTACGGGCAAACAAAATGGGTATCCGAACAACTCGTCCGTGCAGCGGGAAAGAGGGGCCTACTAGGCTCTGTAGTTCGACCAGGGTACATTCTCGGCGACGTAGAAACAGGCGCTTGCAATACCGATGACTTCTTGATCCGTATGTTGAAGGGCTGCATTCAATTATCTAGTCGGCCACGTATCATCAACACCGTCAACTCTGTCCCGGTAAAGCATGTTGCTCGTGTGGTTGTGGCTGCCGCTCTCAATCCCATCCCAGGTGGCGTGCATGTCGTGCATGTCACTGGTCACCCACGACTACGTATGAATGAATACCTCTCCCTTCTCGAGTACTATGGCTACAAAGTTCCCGAAGTCGATTATGACATTTGGAAGGACGAGCTAGAAAAATACATCTCAGCTGGCGGCGTAGAGAAGGATCATGAACAACACGCCCTAATGCCGCTCTACCATTTCTGTGTCAACGATCTCCCTGCTACAACTCGAGCTCCAGAGCTCGATGACAGAAATGCTGTCAAAATTCTGAAAGCAGATGCTGAAAATTGGACTGATGTAGATGAAAGTGCCGGGTATGGTATCACTAGGGAAGATGTTGGCAGATACTTGAGCTACTTAGCAGAGATCGGGTTTGTGAGCTGGCCGTCATCTAAAGGCCGGCCATTGCCTAAAGTCAATGTCAGTCCAACGCAGCTAGAAGCGTTGGGAGCAGTAGGAGGCCGTGGTGGTATACCCAAATGAAACGGATGAATGGATTCGACCACATCTGCTACGCGCGAGCGGTAAACTATTCTTATGACATCTGAATGTCCTCGATATTGACTCAATATTTTCAGCTGCGGACAAACGGAAGAGTTTTGAATTATTACCTCCTTCTCAACAATTTTGCCGAACCTATTCCCTTTGCAAAGTTTAGATAAAACGGTAGAAATATCACTTTGTGTTTGATTGCTCACAGAGCAAGCAATTCATTCTCAAAATCAAACCTGGTTCATGTAGCTATCATAGTGACTTATCTCATCCTTTTAGTAAACAAGCTCCCTGGATTCCTATCATAACTGATCTCCACACAGTCAGATATACATGTATCAATTCTCCCCATTCCATTCGCTCCTTTCAAGCCAAACTCCAAAAACAAAGACGAAAATAACCCCTTAAATCTCCTCCATATCTTCATCCTCCAACCCCAAATCTAACGGCGGGAAATCGCCCACCTCAACTCTCTCCGGCTTCACAAACACGCCTCTCTTCTCCAAACAACTGAAATATCGGCGCCCTCCCACCGACCCGTCATTTTTTCCAGTAGGCTCATCAAGTTCGATGCCGACCCAGATTGGTGCCAATGGCTCTGTGGTAGTTTGGACATCATCATCACCTTCCTTTCCTCTTTCCTCTTCTTCTCCTTTTTCGCCTTTGACTTCGGTTTCTGCAGTTTCTGATGACGATGATTTGACTCGCGGAGAAGGAATGGTAGGTACAGGTCCGATGAAACGTATGGTCCCGCGGCGGATATGGGGCGGGTCGGAGGGAAGGATAATGGCGCGCTTGGAGAGCTCGATACCTAGTGTGTTTCGCGTTGGTATAAATGGATATAAACATAGATTGAAAGTTGTGGGGGGCGGGAGGGGAGGGAGGGAGAGGGAAGGGAAAGTGAAAGTCTCGTTAATCGCATTTTTCATTTATGTACCTCTCTGTTTAATCTCTTGTTGGTCCTTCTCCACTTGCTGCTTAAGGGTTTGTTCAGGGGAGGGAGTTGTTGGGTCGAAACGACCCAGCTTTTGATTTTTTTTCCATGATAGGACGCTGTTCGGGAGGCTTTCGTAGGTTGAGGTCGGCAGTGCGTATTTTTCTACTGTGGAGAGATCGGTGAAATTTGGGCGCGCTGATGGAGGCCGGGTATCATGGACCTAGCCTTTGGGTTAGACTAGAGTATATGAGTATATAATACAAATAGGTCATTCAAAATGGAAGGAAACAAGGAAGGAGGGTAATTTGGGAAGTGCCAAAATGATAGTAATCATTCGGAGCGGGAGCAAATATTTTTAAACATGAATCTCCCATGGACGGCTTTAGGCAAAGAAGGGGATTCCAACATCACGGTGCTGAATATCCTGTCATTTGTCGGGATGTCTCCAGATCCATCCCAAAACCATGAACAGGGTCATTATGCCACCCAGCAAGACCCAACAACTCACGTGGATGTGAGCAACAAACGTGGAAGCAAAAAGTAAATAATGGCACAGAAATAGATGCCAGGTAGACATCGATTCCGTCATTGCATACCTCAAACTCGCATCCTCTTGCCAGACCCCATTCACCAACTAATTGATCGTCTCCCTCGACCCATCGGTCTTCTCTGCCAGGAGACTTCAACTTAAGTTTCTGGTTGGATGGTGGAATCCCAGTCATAGTCTCCAGTTTAGCTTTTAACTGTGACACGGTCCACGTCGGGGTTATGCGACGCTCTGAGGCGTATGACACCGTATCTCCTGTTGCTGGTCCCCCGCTGCCCGGGGCAACTGTAATGAGAGCAGCGATGTCCATAGGAGTGGGTTGAAAGGCCATGTTGAGGGGTATTTAAACCAGAATTAGAACTTCTATTGAAGGTCTCTTTCGATGTTTAAAAACTGAAAAGTATAGGGAGAAGCCTATACCATTGACTTTTTGAGGTTTCAAAGACTCCCTTGGTATTATTCTTTTCCTGCTTTGGTAGTTAGAATTTACCCCGCATTGAACGATATTAGTACACGTTCGTAAGGAAAGGCGTCTACCTATTCAAAGCAAAATATCAGAAAAAATTTATAAATATCTTTCACATCGTAAGTATGCCTAAAGCGAGGATATAACATCCTACAAGCAGGCGATAGGAAGATGAAGATGAGTGCTGGAAAGGGATCAAGGAGTATCAGGTGACATGGCACCGGCGCCAGCCAAGACATCGACCTGGGAGTCGTAGTTGCGTTTGATCATTTATGCTACCGTAGACAAAATGGAACAATGGAAGAATAGAAGAATGGAGAATCCTGGCTATTACTCAATTTCTATGGTTGGGGATGGAATATTTAAAAGGTGCCATTGCTAGAGCTACGGCGTATAATATCGAATAAAAACAAACCGCTGAGACACGAAGGGTGGACCATTTTCACAAATATGGCATTTGCACTCATTATTTTCAAATTACCCAATAGTCCAAAATGTCTTTCATTTTTACATACGCAGCGTATGTACGATTTCGGATATATACTAGTATATACCAGTTGCGAAGGAACCCTCCGTGGCTGGAAAATAAATACTAGTATACTTACCCAAGTTACACACACACACACAACTAAAATACCTTGGACCTGTCTTACTTCTTCCACCTGAAATATTTCTACCGTTATCGACAAAGCTGCTGCCGACAGCAACGTAATCCTGTTCATGGAGATATTTATGTGCCTGAACTTCAGGGATATAGATCTGGTGATCCTACGCACGTGACGTATCTGGCGAGTTAAGCGGCCTGAGCGCGAACCAGACGCCACAGCCGAAACCCTAACAGAAGCCTCGATTCTGTCGAGTTGCCCTCCTTTCAACCACCACTGATTCTGTCCTGCAGATGCTGAGAGCGAGCGGATCCTGATCGAGTTGTGTTACAAGAGGTAGTAGAAATAGAGCCCTGTCCAGTGGCTTGCCCCGAATCGTCAATCTCTGTGCACAAGGCTGATTAATTTTCCTGAAGCACGTTTGGACCATGGAATGCAGCGACCCAGAAAAGTACGAAGAATTGCATGTTCATAATGTCTACCAGGAGATTGCGGAACACTTCTCCTCCACGAGATATAAGGTCGGTCGATAGCTTCTGTTTTCTCTTTCATGCATGCCTCCTAAGTGTGGTCGTAATACCTGCGGCCCAAGCTTGCTGAAGAAAAATCCGGTTTCTCTGCATAGCCTTGGCCGATTGTCGAACGGTTTTTAAAGGAACGCCCGCCAGGTTCGATCGGCCTAGACATCGGTTGTGGGAATGGCAAATATTTGCCCGTCAATTCTGACATTTTCATTGTTGCGTCAGATCGGTAAGTTGAAAATTTTTGCTAGTATATTTGCTCCGATAATGCCCCATCCCTGCCCAAAGAAAAAGCGTAATATTTGGATCCCAAATTTTCTATAAGGATATTACTATCCCTGTCTAAACATGCAAGATTTAGATCTGAAGCCTTGGCGCGGATTGCCAGTGCGCATTATCCACATTCTTCGATTGTCGCTGACAATCTGAATTTACCACATCCGGATGGCATCTTCGATTTCGCCATTTCCATTGCAGTGGTACATCACCTGTCAAACCATGAACGCAGAGTCAGAGCTATTCAGTCTATCCTGCAAACGCTCAAGCCGCCTCACGATGGTCGTGAAGGTGGCAAAGCATTGATCTATGTCTGGGCACTGGAGCAGAAAAACAGTAGGAGGGGATGGGATGCTGGCGATGACCAGGACGTCATGGTACCCTGGGTGAGAAGAGAAAAACCTGGTGATGATAAGTCCGGGGCGTCAACAAAGACTTTTCATCGCTACTATCATTTGTATGAATCACAGGAGATAGAACGAGATATCGTTGCCGCTGGTGGTCAAGTCTTGGATCATGGTTATGAAAAAGACAACTGGTGGGCTATTGCAGGCTTAAAGTCAGTGGGTTGAATTGTGATAACGCAAGTAGGACCGCTATATCAAGCATCCGGTATCGTCTCGAATTGAAGAGCTATGAAAACAATTTGGGGGAGAGAGAATAAATTAAGTGGCATACATCAAAAGCGTCAAGGACAAAAGAGAAGAGTGGAAACGGGGACGGGAAAGTCGTTGGAAGAAGGAGAGGGAAATTGAAAAATGAAGATGAACTCTGAGTAGGAAAGCTTAAAAAGAGAATGGCTAAATCTACCTATGCAAAACCCGAAATGACAAAGGAAAGGAAGAAGAGGAAAATTGAAAATAATATGGAAGAAGAAAATGGAAAATGTGATAGGAGAAACACAGAAAAATATACAAGACTTCGATCTATCCGCCACCAATCCCACGCTATGCAGCCATATCCCGATATAACCTATATCACCAACCACTTCGAAAGAACCATATATCATTTCTTAGAGCGAACTCCTGCGCCTGAACGAGTTCCGGGGTGGCCAACCTTGTGCTCTGAAGGCGACTTTGGAGATTTTGACTTTGAATAAAGCTCACGCGGCTGGCTTGATGCGTACGCGGGAACGCCGGCAGTCAACTCAGCAACAGAAGGAAGCTGCTGGCCTGAGCCTCGTATCGCTGAGTCTCGCCTCGGTCTGGATGCTGCTGTGTTTATTCTGCGCACCTTGGGAGGAGGCTCCGTTGTTGGATGCGTAAGTAGAAATGGCAATACACCAGCTCGTCTCGCCATCTCGTGCTCTCCTAGCTGCCAGTGCATAGCTTCAGCTGCTCTCCAAGGGACGAACATTTCTGCTGCTATCTTGGACCACATATCTGCTTTGAATCTGCATGTGTTTTAGGACCGACGAATCAACAGTTGCTCTCGTATTAGCACGTCATGCTTCAATTACGGGGGCTTACCTTTCGTATAGCCTAGCCAGTTTATTCTTACGGTCCTCATCCCACTCACTCCGTCGTTCAAGGTAATTTTGGTAATGGAGCCGACAGCTAAGGGCGCTTCTGCCAGGTAGCTTTTTGCTGATATCCTCCCACTTTAACCCGTTGCCTCGAAGCTCTATTATTAGAGCATCTTCTTCAGCCGACCATTTCGATTGTTTTTTGGCAGGGATTTCAAAGGATGGCGCAGGCTGTAGCCGTTTTGCTGGTCTTGTGGATGATAAGATCTGAGGATCAGGTAACGATGTCACTTCCGCTTCTGTGGCTATCCCCGCGCGAGGAGACCTGGAATTTTTTTGCGTCCGGAGTTGCGCGACTGCAGGATCTGTTATCACCTGCCTGGCATTTATATCCTTCTTTTCTTCCTCCTCATCTTGAGACTGCAGAAGCGAGGCGATATCCACCTTTTCTGTGGGGGTTCGTTCACGAATACACAGAGCAACCATATACACCCCAATTAGTTTGAGATGGATTGCTGATTCCTCTGTGAATCGCGAGTGAGAAAAAAAAATATTTGCTAGTTCGATCTAGCCACGGTGCCTATTTGGTGGCAGGGGGAAATGGAGAAGGCAACAAGCGCAGCGGAAAGTGGTCGTTAGGAATTGAAAGCAGTTCCCTGAAGGGTAAGGATGATGGAACGGATCAGATAAATTCCAGAATCGTGTTCCTAAGATGGTGGAAAGCACGCGAGCAATGGTTAAATAAATTGGCGAAGTCCCGGTTTAGGTCTATGAGTCGATCAGCCGCCACCGCCCTTACACCATGTGGGTGCAACGGCAATAGGGCGGAAACCAGGATGGAGGAACGGCCAAAGGAAAGAGCCCGCGTCAAGGAAAGGAAAAGGTTCCTCTGCCCCAAAGTGGTACAGTACCGACCTGATCTAGAGAATGTGGGAAATCTCCCTGACAAAAATAAAAAGGGCGAGAGAGAGTCGGTCTAACTAGTTCTGCCTTATTTTCCGCTTCTGAATTTCTCGACCAATGGTCGGGATATCCGGGATGTTACAAAATCACTGGTTACCGTCTTCCTTCGCTCCACCAACGAACTTGCGGACGCCGGTTTCGACCTGTTGTGACGTGCCCTATTGTCGCGTTACGGGTGATTTGGGGAAGATTGGCAGAAGAACAACAGGCGGGCGGCGAAATACAAGGCAGTGTACATGCTTCCTCGGGCGCCATTTGTCTCAAGGGACTAAATAGTGAAAGACGAGGGGGATCAAGCCAGGATAAGGACGTAAGCTATCCAGCGCATCGTCAAGCTGGAGGAACTATCCGAAGCAGCTAAATCCATGATGGCATAGTATGATTATTCTCCAGTTATTTTTATTATTTTGGGAGAAAATGGAAAAATAAAAAGGGATTCCACAGGTAACTTTTTCTTTTTCCCCTTCTGCTTTTTGGTTGGTCCGACTTTCGTACCTGGTCCAGTCCCTTGCACATCATGCAATTCGAAATCCAAACCCTCCCCACGTCTTCTCACTTTCGTACCGTTTAAACTTTGCTGCCACATACGATGGGCAGTGGTGCAGAAAAGAAAGAAGGATCAATGACAATACAAAATAAAAATAAAATACAAATACAAAAATCCACTGTACTGAACTCTATATAATAGTTCACATGAAAAATTACAAATTGCGGAGCGGGTTTATTGATTCTTGGGTGGAACTGTTCGTCTCATGTCCGTTGAACTTATGCCTTTCGTTTCTAATCTTTTCTTTCTCTCTTCCTCTTTTGTGAAAGATTTGTTGGGGGAAATTTTTCAATCCCTGGTGATTTTGGTAATTTATATTCTATTTTGTGAACTGGGTTTGCTATTAGTTCTTCCAACCCTGCCTGAATGGCAGGGGCCGAGGATAGGGCAAGACATATCATGAAACTTTAAATGTATCTTAGGGCTTCCAGGCTTTGTCTAACAACTAGTAACAAGCGAGGGCAAAAAATATTACGTTTCTTGCAAATCCTAATGGATAGGCAAATAGCTGGGGAGAACCTCGACGGTTAGCGAGGAAATATACCCATCCCTGTGCATATATGTATATATTTATCGAGAAGGCGGAGCCGAGAGCAATACTTGAAAGCAACCGACTAGCTATGTGCAAATAGGCCTTGCGGAATTAACAGTCTAGAGCGACGCAATGCCGAATTGAAGGTACAGTGTATGCGTCAGAACACTGATATCAGGAGTTCATTGTTCAAATCCTCCAGTATAAGGATTCTTTGCGTGTGTATCTCCCGTATAAAAGACAATACCAGAAATTTAAAAATAAAAAATACAAATAAATAAAAATGGGTAACCGGTAGGGTTACTGTGGTCAGTGCAAACTTCGTCGCCTAAAGAAATAGTTAACCAAGCCACAGAGGGCTGATGACATGCATAATGTTAAGATCCAGTACCAAGTGATCTGACCAATTTGCTTTTTTCCTATGGTATGTATGCCCCTCCTCCAATTCTACCCGGATCCGCTTCATGAAAGCATTTATGGACGCCCTTTTTGTTGGTGGTACTGCTTCAGAAGACACCGGCCTAGAAGTTTTCTCACTTTCTCTCTTCCTTCTCTCGTGAGCGAAGCGTTGAAGAACCAGTAAGGAGTTTAATTTCCAATCTCACCTCCAAACTTTTATATTGCCAGCCTTTTTTTAGATTCGCCCCCAGTATCTTGGCAAGTTTACTCTCATCCATGCTGTCATCCACTGCATATACTTGACACACATTAAGTGTCCACAAGATCCGCAAGGGCTAATTATATCTGAAAGGTTGTATTAGTGCATACGCTTTCTGAAGACGATACATGAAGCAAAACGGTCGTGGAACAAGGGTTAACAGCTAGGATGGAAATGTGCAGGCCTATCGTCTGGCACTTGATTTCGAGACTCTTTTCATCCCCCCAAACGACGCCTTGGGCCGCTCAAAAAGGAAATGAAAGCTTGAATTTGTGAATTCATTGATTCATTTCTTTTGTTGGGCAATAGTAATGGGTGTAGATGGTTCGTCACACACAAACATGGTCACCAATTGCCCCATGGGGGAGAACGCAGGAGACACTGTTTTTCCGTCTTTACGCGACTACAAAAGAGGCTATTCTGTTATTCTTAGAAACATCTTTGCCAAGTAAGCGCAGATCCCAGCTAAGGTTGGTTCTTCTCTCAGATATCGCAGCTAGGAGAATACGTATATAGATCACCGCCTCTGGAATTGGGCGCGATGCGTGCAAAAGAGAAGGCCAGTAAGAAACCGGGCAGTATGCAACTTCGTTACTGCTCTTCTTTTCGTACATAGTTACTCACATATTTTTCTGCAGGAAACCCGACATAGGAAGTGCAAAATCAGGGGAGGCGTTGCGGTGAAAATCTTGCACAATACAATGGCGAACAAGATCGTGGGGAAAGCCGATGGCCATGTTCAACGTCAATTTTCTGTTCCAATAGCAGAACTGGGGGATAAGAAGATGTGCCAAATATCTTCTCATTCTCTAGCAGCCTTTGTTCTTTTCCGGTTTTCCTTCAAGCCATTTATTTGTTCGCCTCGGAGCTTAAAATCTAAAATCATAAGATAATTGTAAGTGTGGCAATGCGAATTAGGATATCACCAGCGTCTGTAAATTTTTCCTTGTTCAAGTTTTTATTAGCAGATATTTCAATATTAGAAAGGGTGCTAAATACAGACGTCAGCAGTAAGTCACTCCCATGGTAATGTCCGACATACATGTTGCGGTGTACATAACTTTTTGCTTTGAAACAGAGGGAATTGGCCCCCAAATAAGCAGTTGGCACAAGGCCATCCTTATCGATTTAGCCAATCAACGTATGCCGTAATATATATATGCGGTGAGCAAAGAACGAACAAAATTCCCCGAATGCTCTCCGTGATACGATGTCTCTGTGTTAGGCGATATCCTTGTCGGATATCCATCGTGTGTGCCATCGCACAATGCAAGGTACTGTGCCACCGCGACTCTTACTAGAATCCTCATATACAAATTGAAATTGACACGGGGAAAAAAAGGGTGCGGGAGGGATTACGATACTATAAATCAGCGCGGCAATGGGAAATTCGGGATTTTTCGCGACTGATTATCCAAGTTGATAAATATTAAGATCAGCTGGGGAAGCAATGGAGAAATTTTCGCTGAGTCAACTCAAAATGTGCAGTTCCTTTTTAATAGCGAGTTTCATGAGCAGAGGTCATCGAGGTCGCGTGGGGCTGGATGATATGATACCTGTGGTAAATTTTCAATTTCAAGCTCTCGCAGATACAGCTAATGTCCAAGAGAGTCGCAAAAAGCAGTGACCCAAGATAGCACCGAATTGCAAAATTTAACCAACAAGCCTAAAAAAAAGTAATTTCTGGGAGTTTTGGTGTTCATCAAGCTAGTAACGAACGAATAACTTAACGGCAGCCACAGGAGCACATCGATGATAAAAAAAGAAAAGATAAAAAAAGGACAATAATGGAGAGATTATGCAGCAGGGATTTTGCATGGGAAATCAGTTAATTGTCACGAACTGTGGCGTCTCGTTTGGGTCCTCATCAACAGTCGGGGGCGATGTGGGATTGTTGAACTCTTTTAGATCATATGGGGCAACATGTCACGGATAGTTTGGGATGCTAAACACCAAGGGTTAAAAAGCGAACACCTGACGAAATTTCAGTGGCACGATAGGAGTCGGGGGCGTTTTTCAGATGGGTTTTCCAATTTTGGCATGGAATTACAGATTGGACGGTGTCCCCGAAAACAAATTGAATGTCGCCCATACTGTCACCGGTTATTCTCCTCTGCCTGGAGGCGGCACAGCAGACCCGCGACCATGTGGCATATCTGTAACCATCAGATAGCTACCTCGCAAGCAAGATCGGCCAGCTGCTTGAATCTTTGACATGACAGCGATGGGTCGATCATCTTTGATAGGATAGGTCAGGTCAACCGATGGAGTTACGGCCAAAAACGCCACCTATATCATTTGTTGTTGTATTCTAACAATTTCCATGAACTCTGGTTTGATAGCCAAGAATTCGACATATTTGCCCGCATAGTTTATGTAAAGATCAGAACAGATGACCTCAGACACAGAGCGGGTAAGTAAGCAGCGACGTGTGTAGGCATGCAAGGAGATAGTTTGTCGAAAGCGGTGAAGACACCGCTCCATTTATCAAGAAAGTGGTATTCTATCGCCAATATCTCAAGACGGTTCAATCGCCGAGAAATACCTACAGGAAATCATCTTAATGCGTCAATTCCTCCGCTCTGGCTGGAATGACATCAGCAACGAACGCATTGAACCGTGGGGAAGATACCGCCTGGGTGGTCCGAAGTCTGTTTGCCCAACCCAACTCCACCAGGAAGAGGGGAAACCCTTGTGCCCAAAATATGTAAGAACGAACTCCTCCTTCAATCAGTAGCTCTGTTCTCCCTCATTTGCCCCTCATTGCCTCACTATCTCGAGGGATAGCCTGCTGTGAGAATTCGGAAACGTCCGGTCTTGTCAAAAACGAGTGGCGGAAGGGATTGGGAGGAAGGGGAGTTGCAAGCCTCTTCTAAATCGATCCACACCTGAACCATGATGACATTTCCGAACAAAGCCCCTTGCTAATTTCTTCACGTTGGGCAAAAATCCATCGCTATCTGGGCGCCTTGAAATATGTACATGCTGGTTGCGGCTGAAGGAAGCCCAGGCGTCGTGGCTGTGTGCGGGTGTTTGGTTCGTCTCAAAAGCAGTTCGTTGATGCAGTTCATGCAAGCTTGGCATCATTGGACATCCTTCGTTGCCGGCTTGATGCGCAGGCTCTTATTCGTGCTTTTCCCGCACTCGCCCCAGTGATCCTCTTCTCAGATCTCGCCTTGTCACTACTGACTAAGAGCTTAGTACACTAGGTCAGGATTTACAAATTCGCAAGTTCGAGTCCTGCATCCCTTTCGTCAAGAGAGGGTTAAAAACAAACAATAAAAAAGCTTAGTACCTTAGCTAGCGAGAGATCACTCTTCTCTCAGCAACAATCAATCAGATATCGAGCAGGATTTCCCGCTCCGGGGTTTTCCGTTACGATTATTCGTCCGCTAGTTCATAGGTCCAATTACCATAGTATGCTATTTCCCCATGACTATTCCTAACAATTTAAGAGTAATGGAAATGTTTTATGTTTCCAGCCAATTATTACCCATCCATCACAACAACTATCTCTGTTGTCTTGGCGAGGATGAACCATTAAATTCCATTGTTATTTCGCCCCAAAAATTTATGATCATTATCAAATCCAAGGCAAGAATGAAAGACCTGGACTCCTTGAATCGTATGAGCAAACAAAAAAATGGATACCCTCAACAGTATATACAGCATCAACCATTATGGCCTTTAAGAGGGTTTGGTTGGATTTGGTAAACCTCTTTAAATCGGACGACGGCTGAGGCGAACCGGTGTTTCAGGCGCAAGAGAGAGATATACATATTCCTGCCTCCATTGGGCGGATTTCCTTCCGCTGATAGCTTGGCTCCATATCCACGGCTCGTTTTAGATTGAAGTTGTTATGAAAGAGTTATAAAGCTGTATGGCAAGCCTTTTTTCTGCCCTCCTTTCGTCGAAATTTACCTAGGCGGTGACCCTAGTGGTGAGGGTAACACAGATCACCAGACACAGACGGAGCTAGGTTTAAATATACGACTAATATTTCTCTTTTAAACATGGTTTGGCAAGCTTTGAATCCACAAGTTGCCGCTCAAGCCATAGTGGTTAAATATTCGGGCAGACATAAGGTCGTATTTCACCAAGCCATTTGATTCCCGACTTCTCCGGATCTATCACGCGGATCGAGGGCGGTAGACGCCCGACATGCCCAATGGAAATAATACCCCCAGCATAGGAAATGTACTCAAAAATGCAATGAGAGGCGGACTGAAGGGGTCTCTGACGAATGGCGCCTGAAAGGATGGAAATGTTTATTAAACTGTTGCATCATTCCGTGTATCCCGTCCTATCGTTCTTTTTGTGGAAGCTCATGTAGAGCACTGGCAGAATCATCGAGGATTTTCGAAAAAGCCTAACAGACGACTGGAGCACTGACAACGGCTGGCTGATGAGGATTTCGTGGGAATTCACTGGTGGTGAGGCAACACCCCTTGAGCCACGCGGTCATGGTAGTAGAACCCAACACTGCCACAACTATTCTCGCGGCCAATACCAGGTTGATAATACCGGTGGTGTCAAATGTAGGGATAGAGCAAATTTGGCAAGGAGCTGAAAATGTCAGTGAACGAAGAACTTAAACAAAGAATGCAATTTGCAGCATGTCTTTACCACCGGAAGTACTTAGGGTAATTTTTAACAGTTGCAATCACAAGTTATCGCAGCGCCAGAACTGTAAGATGTCCTCAGGTCTCAAGCAGGTGAATGAACCCACCTTAGATCCGGGTCCACGTTTCCATCGAGAAAGAGAGTTTCGATACAAGCCTGGGGGACGTGGAGCCCCGAGACGTCATCACTCAATGAACGAACCAGTATTTTGGGAATGGAAGAGTGCAGCCATTACGGTTTGCTGACCTGTTTGTGCATCTCAAAACGAGGCTTCTCCCCTGCTGCAGACCAGCCTTGCATGTCTTCTGGGGGGTTGAAAGTAAAAGAGACAATTCATTCGTGACGAAATGAACAAATCACGCAGTTGGTTTCTAGATAGCGCTCGACGAGCATTGAGGGAACGGAGGGGCATCAAACCAAATGCGACAACACCGAAAATATCCATTATTCCACGAACTGCAAAACTTGACACTTTGGCTCCAGAGGGGTGAAGAGGACATGGGGGGATAGCGCTAATTCCCGCACCATGGAACACCTGTTTTCAGATCTGGAAACACGAACCATGAAGGCTAAAATGATGGATCCCTTAAATGTTGTCATTAGTCCCAATTATGTAGGTGTAAATCCCTTTGGAAATCCACTTCGCCACGGTGTTCATCTTGCAGCTGCTCTCCATAGAGCTTTGACAGATCAGAGATAATTCACCCATCCATTTTGCATATGACAGCAGTTCGCGCCATCCCACCTGCGTAAGGGTCTAGCGTACTTGGAAACAGCCTTGTCAGTTGTCAAAGTGCGTTGATGGTGCCACGCTTTTGGAGCCAGACTCGCAATTCGTCAGGCAACAGGGAATATGAACCAGAGCGGGAGGGGTATGCATCCATTTTGTCCGGAAGATTGGATGGAAGAGCTCGGAAGGGACAAAAAGGGATGTATCTTCTAATCCAGCTCATCATCCAAAAGTTCGGCCATTTCAAGATACTGGCAAATCTTGGCCTCTCCCCATTTTTCTTTTGATTTCAAAGAGTTATACATCATTACCGTAGTGAGGCTGCACCAGTCTACTCATGCACATGTACTGTACATGCTACTTGAGAGCCAGCAACATGCTATTTTCTTTTTCTTTTTCTTTGGCGAAGGCGGAAGACCAGGTTTTGGTAAAGAATAAAAACATAAGTTCGAGCCAGCATCTCTAGGCAAAAAGGGAGCGGCATTTTGAACGGTATGTATGAAGGATGTCGAGCGATAGATGCCCAACGAAGCGATGCAAGCTCGGTATAGTACATTTCTTTGGACCGGATCCACATTCTTGCGCTATTCAATTACCGTGAGGCGGTCTACTTATGCAGACAACGAACGATGGAAAGAACCAAAAAGGCGGGAGCGGTCAGCACATATTCCCGACGGTGCTGATCATGATTCAACTGTCGAGGCAAGTCTGGGTCTGCAAGGCTTGTTGCATCTTGACCCCTGCGCAAAATAACTTTGTGTGAAAATCAGCGGAATGTTATTACTGTGTGCTGCTGCATGTCTGGTCTCTCTCCTTGGTATTCTTGATGAGTTGGCCTTGGGGGTCTGATATGCTCCAAAGGCGGTGAACAGCTGGACGCCATTGGATCGCCTGAGCCAGAGTAGGGGGAAGTCGAGAACCTTGAGAATCGAAAGAGGCCTGTCACAGAGCTCCCCCATCGTGACCAAGGGTCATCCACACAATAAACAGGTCCTTGATGCCTGAAAGGAATGAATCTTTTTCATCAGGCTCTTTTGCACACCAGAATCCCGGAAAGTTTGAGGGAAAGGGGAGGTTATTGTGCAAGTGGGACCTCCTCACACTAACTGGAAAATATAAATTCCAGATATATGACTGGTTCACAGCACATGCCGGACGGTACCCATGTAAGGATAAGCCCAGTCCCTTCATGTTGTTTGGAGGGAGTGGGAGTCGTCCCTCGAACCCCTCTTAATAAGTGTTGGGATTTGTTGCTCAGGCCGCAGCAGCCTGCGGTCATGTGATATTAGGTGCCCTCATTAGTATCCAATGGATGGATGGATGAATTTGTGCGAGTCTCGACTTGGGAAAATATATTGAGATACATAAAGTCAATACGCGGTTTTTGAATATACAAGGGAAGCAAATGCGCCCCGATTTGAGTATAAAGTATTCCACAAAATATGCCTTTTTCCTCCAGCATGCGATCTTAACAACCGGCTGAAATCACCACGCCTACCAAACCGCCAGATATAAAATGCAGCATCACAAGAGCATAAAGGATATTCTCAAGGTGCTTTAGAAATGTGATCCCATAAATATTCCCTGAATTAAAATAAAATGCTGAATAGAACGAGTCAACTCTTGCACCCATAACCATACTCAGGCCAATAAATTGACAACTATAAAAGCGATCATCACCAAAACAGTAGCACTCAACTCTGCTTCGTTCTGGCTCTCTTCGTGCCTTGTGGTGCGTCCGCAGATATTCCAGGATGTACGGAAGCTGGCTCAGTACCATCAATCTCGCCCTCCTTGCTCGGGGGAACACATCCCTGGGTAAAGAAGAGCGCAGCAGGTTTGTCATAATCATTGGCGAAGCTGTAATTATTTCCTGTTACCGCTCGCCAAACCACGTCAAATGTTAGTATATAACCATTTACACGATATCAAAATTGGCTAGAACGAACATCGGAAGGTGTGGCGAGAGGAACAGGACAAGGAGAATAAATGCAGTTGGTACTAACCTCGGGGAACTTGAAAAACGCACCCCTTTCCAGCACTGAATTGAAGATCCGACACATTAACGCGTATTCGGCCGTGGTAGACAAAAAACACCATATGCATTTTCTTAGAGTTTTTTGGTCTCTTGACGGCACCAGGCGGCATGTCAACAAACCCAGAACCCAGAAAGACGTTATTGAGTATTTTTGCGAAGCGGAATGTAGAATCCTTCACTTCATGCGTTTCTATTGCAGAAGGAGCAAAGGCAACATCTATCTCCAATAGTCAGAAAACGTTCCCCATTCGATTAAAATTATTCAAACAAAGTGGACATACCTATCATCTCCTCTTCCTGCGTAGCGCTTTGGGTTACCGGGTCCCACTTCTTCACCGGGCCGTAGAACACTCCTTCTTCCGTTTCCCACGGCTCTACATTATCTATATCTTCATCATCATCATCAGATGGATCGTCCCTTGATCTTTTTGATCTGGACTTAGATTTAGATTTTTTCTTGGATTTTTTCGTCTTCCTGTCTACCCTTGTATCCTGCTCTTCTGTTCGAATAATTTCTTTGATCGTCGATAACGGAAAACGTTGTCCAACTTCCGCAGCCCCATCTCCATACACACACCGTTCGTTGCGCCAATACGCAAGTGGACGCACTGATACTCGGCCAGAACGAGTGTGCTTTGCAGATTCATCTGAAGGAGTTTCTCTTTTGAGAATATATAAACTTCGGTTTTTCAAGGGTCCACTTCGCTTTGTGATATTCTCCACTACTGAATTTAGTTCTTGCTCTTGCTCGATGGACATATGGAGGTTGGATCGCCATTGTGAACCACCTGTTTTCGCTCTCTTCGGTGCTCTCGAACTTTCCGCTTCCTCGTCGACATCATGATATACATCTGTAGTTATGGCTTTTGGCTTTCTTCCTCGTTGTTTTTGTGCAGACTTAGCTGGCGCATCAGTGACTTTGTCTGAAGTTACCTCACGTTCTTGTTTTTTTCGGACTGGGTCCTTTGGTTTGGAAGGCACGTTCCTGCGCTTCGCCCCTGCCGTTTTCGCAACTATTGAGGGTGAGGGTTCACTTTCTACATCATCTGGCTTGTCTGGGTCTTCATCTGGCAAGTCATTCTCATGATCGTCGCCATCATTTTGATTATAACCTTTTGGCGAGCCGCCATCTGCATTATCGAAGTTTTCGTGATAATCTCCGTACGACTCTACAAAGTGCGTATCCTCCCCTCCATCATCCGAGAAGTCCGCAGGTTCACTGACTTCCAGGGACGCCCGGGGAGAAGATCTGGCTAAGCGTGGCGCATGAGAAAAGTCGAGAGTCCTTCTGGCTGCTGGCCGCGCAGAAGTAGGGCTGGAGGATTGTCCATGATGCGCAACAGAAGACGAACGGATCCCTGGAGTTCTTCGAGGGGAACCGGACATGTGTGTTTTCATCGGGGAGCGCGATCGAGGGAGTAAAAGTAAGGGGTTTCGTTGTCCGCGTCGGCCTGAAAGTACGTCAGTTGGCTCCGGGATGCTACCTAGAGGGAAAATGAGTATAGGAGATCCCATTTTGGGTAGCAAATATTATTGGCCCCATGTGATGACAGTGGAGAAACGTACTGTCTCCAGTTTCCATATCCTCCGAATTCAACGTATCGTTTCCATAGCCATGGCCATTAATCTTAACAGGAGATTTCTCCGGCGATGAGAAAATCCCCTCAATCTCTTCCATGCCATGTTCATCAAGTTTCCCTTCCCTTAGAGTAATGCCCGTGCGTCTAATGAAAAAGGATACACTTGGTGAGTATTCTCGAGATTTGCGGGCATTCCTCAATTGGCAAAAAAGTTTTTGATCTAGAGAATACAAGTACGTACCTACCAGCCTTACCCACATTGGAGTAGTCGAAATCGCGACTTTTTGTAGGTCCTCGGGGTGGCATCCTAGCAGAGTTGTTGATGATTTGTTGATAGTTAAGGATCGAGCGAACATGCTATGTCCGCATCAGGTGGCAATGATTCGGGAAGTAGCCGGTATCCAGCCGCGGTAATGAAAAAGAAACGCGCGCGCGATATAAGTATATCCTCCCCTATATCGTTGATTTGAGTGCTGATCGGTTTTGCCGATATACCGTGTGAGGGGAGTCGGAATGGCACAATGAAGACAACGCGAGGGAACTGCACTAAACCCGGTCTGGTGCAACGCGTGTTAGCTATTGTGGCGGACGTAAAGCTTGCGAAAACAGAATTTTCTGCCACCCCCTGAAAAGTAGTAGCAAAACACCGCAAAAATAACCAAAATATCCATGTATCTCTAGAATCATTCAAATATCATCCAATTCATTCAAATACGCACCTTTATCATCAAATATGCACCTTTATCATCAAATCTGCCAATATGCCCCACAACACCCACCATTCTACTGCCTCACAAGCTCATAAAAGGACTTCAACTACTCTGTGCCTTCATCTGCCCAAACTGCCTGTTCTGAATGTTTCAGATAATAACAAGAATCCAACTGATGATGAGAAGAAGGAGGAGGAGGAGAAGAAGGAGGAGACACAGTCAGAAGATCCTTGATTTCTGTGAACATCTATCTCTGAGCCTGAGATCTCATTCAGACTGTATGAACAGATGATTATCAATGGGATAAAGAAGTCTATAAAGATCAAGTTATGGAATGTCACAATAAATGATATGACTGTCAGCTTCTATTGTATTCAATATACTGCAAAAAGAATAGCTGAAGAGTATGTTATGAAGTAGAACTGCAAGGAGATAGAAGTTGCAAATTGTATAGCAGTCATCTCATCAAACAAATATGGATCTTCAATCAAAATCACCCTTGAGAAGGAGACAGATTGAAGAGAGATTATCACTCTTTTGAAGAAGTTATATAAGGAGAAGATGAGTGAATTTAGCATTGAGATTACTATCTCTTTTAATCTTCTTGATATCTCAACTCTATTCTCAAACACCTCTGTAATATGCAGTTCTGCAGCTTTCATTGAAGTGTTGGATTCACAATTAACAACTCAGACATTGACATCAAAAAGAGCATTAGATGTCAAAGAAGAAGTAATCTCACCATCTGCCAAATCCCCTCTCTATTGTTCTGCTAAATCCCCTTGAATTTATGAAATATTCAATGATGAAAAGCTGCTGTCTATATATACAAGATTCATGGCCACTAGTCAGCAGCTGAAGGAGGCTTGAAATCAACAGTCAAATGAGTACAATTCTTTGTGGATTGGATGTGAGATAACTGCTCACTGGTGTTGTCAAAAGATGAATTGTCATAACTTTGAGCAGAGCACTTGTTGGATGGCTTTTGATGATACTCATATTCAACTTCTGAATAGTGAGATTGCCAGTTGGATAGATGATGTTGAATGTGGACATGCAACAGTTAAAAATCTGTTAAGAAAGATGACAAAAAGATTAATGAATAGAAAGAAGAAGAAGGAATGAAAAAGTGAATCTATCTCTGCTTCTAATTCTTCTATACAGACATCTCAGATGCCAGCAGTTATCTTCCCTCTCTCAACTTCTTCTTCATCTAATATTGTGTCTTCAAGTGAGATAATCAATGTGATGGTGATGAAATATATGATGGAAGGAATAGGAGACATGAGAGAACTGAATTCAAACTTGCCATCAAATTCAAATCTGCTGTTGAATTCAAATCTGCTATCAAATTCAAATCTGCCATTGAATTCAAATCTACTGTTGAATCCAAATCTGCTGTTGAATCCAAATCTGCCATCAAATCCAAACCTGCCTTCTATTTGAAGTAGTTCAATCTCTCAGTTTGATGAACATGCAGATCTGTTTATTGATGAGTTCTTCAACTGATTGATGACAGAGAGACCTTGAAGAGCAGAAGCTCTTTTAACTGCAAAGAGCATTATTCAGAATAAAGAATTTGAACTGAATCATATACAGACAATGACAAATGAGCAGGTGGTTCAGTTGAATATTGGAATGGATATATTCTCAATAATAAGAGATGGGTTAAAGAGTTCTATCTGACAGTCACAGTTGAAGAAGATTAAATTGTCTTTATCTGCTGTTTGTAGTGATGACAGCAGACCTCATACTGCTTCTGCTTCTGAATTTGAAACTTAGATATTATATATCATCATAATTGAATTGCAATCTGAATCTTTCTAGATTTTACAATACTATTCTATATGAGCAGATCTGAAATATCCTCTTGCATCTTCTTCTTTCATGAAGTTCTCAACTGTATGATGCAAGAAGACTTCAAAATCTTCATCAAACTGATTCTCTAACTGACATCTGTATCTTCTAATCCATTCTTTCAACATGTGAAATTGTGACGGGTTAGCACCCGTTAGTAGTTAACTTACGCAACCAACCCCCTATCGCCCGTTCGCCCTCTCACGTGCTCTCGCGTACCTACGAAACGCCCCTCTCCTCGCGATCCCGCTCCGCGCTCGCGTAGTCTCTAACGATTCCTCCGCGTAACCCCTAACATTCTTCCGCTCCGCGCTCCACTGCAGCGCGACCCCCGATATTCTTCCGTCCCGATCCTCCTTCTATAAGAACCCCCTCGTACGACCCCTTCTTCTGATCTTCTTTCTCTTTCTTTCCTTAATCGATTCGTAAACTGTTACCAGGATAGTGTCAAGTCCGTTGATATTGCCGTTGGAACGGATCGTACGAACTGCGCAGGCGGTACGAACGGTTTAATCTGCAACATCGGTAACATCTGCTTAATCGGTGGCACGCCCGTCACATTACGAATCGATTCATCTGTGTCGGCCCGAGTGCCCCGTGTTTACGATCGCACCTAGGTGCCCAAGTTAAAGTTTAAGAATAAGTTACCCAAGTCCTACGAAGCCGCACCACTGTGATAGTGCTGCGAAGAAGCCCGAGTGCTTAGAAGTCCACAACCGCGTGTCTGTGAAGAGGCCAGAGTGCCTACGAAGTATTTCCTCCAAAAAGAATAAGAACTGAACCTCCTGGTCTCCAAGTTACCAGGACCAAGAACCATGGCCTCGTACGAAAACGAGATGAATTACGAACACCCCTACGAACACCCTTCCGCGGGCGAAAACCGAAACCTCGCAGAAGACAACGCTGAACTCCGTAGCTTCCTCCAGCAGCAATCCCTGCAGATGGCGGAGCTCCAGCGACAACTGAATAACCTGAATACGAATACACCAAGAACCACGCAAGCACCAACACCCCTTATGTACGAAAGAAGAGAACGCCTCCCTCTCCTCGACAAATTCGCGGGAGAACTCTCGACCTACTTAGCCTGGAAATGGAAGGCGAAAGCCAAGCTTGAAGAAGATGGGCCTGTGATAGGCTCTCTGCTCTCGCAAGCTCGCTATGTTCATAGTCGGCTAGAAGGAGATGCTCTAGCCAAGTTCCAACCTTGGATCGAGTCGTGCGCGCACGAGATGTGCACCCCTGAAGAAGTCTTCCGCCAACTAGATGTCCTGTTCTTGGACCCTACACTCCAAGCGCGCGCGATGCAATGGTTGAACAGGAACCGCCAGAGGAACACACCACTGGCGAACTATCTACCCGACTTCGACAGCAAGATACGCGAAGCAGGAGGTCAGGACTGGGACGATGCTGTCAAGATCAACCTCCTGAGCCAGCATATTAGCTTTGAACTGCTCAAGCTCTGCACCTCGCACCTCATGCCCACGCGTTACCATGACTACTGCACCCACTTACGCCAACTCGACAACAACCTCGCACGCTTCCATGCTGTCCAAGGAAGACGTAACAATTATAGGCAGAACTACACGCCTACTAACGCGCCAACTGCACCAGCTGCCCCTGCGGACGCCATGGATTGGACCCCTCATGTGAGCACAGGACGACCAAAGATACCTGGCCTCTCTGGACGAGAAGTTACTGATCGAATCGCCCGAGGCGTCTGCATTCGTTGCAACAAGCCAGGGCACTTCGCAAGCCAGTGCACCAATGCAGTAGTTCCTGCCTCTACGCCGCGAGTGAACACAACTACGCCCACGAATGAACAAGGACAGGGAAAAGAAGAGCTCTCGCCCTAAAACGCGGACGAGAGCTCAAGGAGCAAGAAGCTAGCTGGAGGTTTGAGCAGAAGATGCAAGCGGACGCAATCATGGTCCCTGCCATTGTAAATAGCCTAGTCAACGTACGCGCAATGGTAGACAGTGGTTTCCTTCACTACGCTCTTATAAATACCCAGCTAGTAGAAAAGCATAAGCTCCAGCGTATCCCTTTCCCTGAACCGCGTAAGCTCAGTGGATTCGACGGCCCCAGAGGATCCGCCTCCTACAACATGGTAAGATTTAATGTCGATGTAGGAGGGCACGAGAAAAAGAACGTTTACGCATACGAAGTGCAGGACCTTGAGTACGACTTAATGCTCGGCCTGTCATGGCTTACGGAATTTGGAACCTTGTTAGACGCACGCAACCGTTGTCTTATTTTCCCAGGAAGCGACCGCGTCTATGAGAAGGATGTCGATAGGACTGCTGATCTCACTCAGATATCGGCAGAAGCGTTCAAGCTATTAACCCGCCAAGCGCGCGAGAAGAAGAACGTCCAAGTGTTCGCTGCTAGTATGGCGGATATCAAGAAAGCGTTAGAAAAGCTAGAACCTAAGGACCCCAAGAAGCCCCGCAAGGAACTCCCCGAATCGTATAAGGACTTCGCAGACGTGTTCGATGAAAAGGCGGCCGAAGAGCTCCCCCCCCACCGAGGACGCGGCATAGATCATACGATTGAGCTCATCAAGGAAGATGGCAGGGACCCGCAACCACCCTGGGGTCCTCTCTACAGCATGTCGCGCGATGAGCTCCTCGTCTTACGAAAAACACTCAATGGATTACTGGACAAGGGCTTCATCCGCGTTAGCAATTCACCCGCTGCAGCCCCCGTACTATTCGCGAAGAAACCAGGAGGAGGCTTACGATTCTGTGTCGACTACCGAGGACTTAACAAGATTACGCGAAAGGACCGATATCCTCTCCCGCTCATCAATGAGACACTCGAGCGGATAGGAAAAGCAAAATGGTTTACGAAGCTTGACATCTCCGCGGCCTTCTACAAGATAAGGATTAATGAAGGTGACGAATGGCTAACCGCCTTTCGTACGCGCTACGGACTATACGAATGGACAGTGACCCCCTTTGGACTAGCGAACGCCCCCAGCACGTTTCAGAAATATATCAACTGGGCCCTACGAGACCTGCTCGATGAGATCGCGTCAGCGTACATGGACGACATCCTGATCTTCACCGATGGATCGCTCGCTGAACACCGCAAGCACGTACGACAGGTACTTGACCGTTTACGAGAAGCAGGACTACAAGTGGACATTGACAAGTGCGACTTCGAGACCAAGTCTACGACCTATCTAGGATTCATCATTGAAGCTGAAAAAGGCGTACGAATGGACCCTAAAAAGGTGAAAGCAATCCTCAACTGGGAGGCACCTATCTCGGTAAAAGGGACTAGGAGTTTCCTAGGATTCGCCAACTTCTATCGAAGATTCATCAGGGACTTCTCGGATATCGTACGACCACTAACGGACCTGACACGGAAGGACGCTGTATTCCAATGGACCACTGAAGCGGACGCTGCTTTCAAGAAATTGAAGCATATGTTCACGACCGCCCCGATGCTGCAGTCGTTCGACCCAGATAAGCATACGATTCTCGAGACAGATGCTTCAGGTTATGTAGTAGGTGGAGCACTGATGCAATATGACAATGAAGGTGTTCTACGACCCTGTGCCTTCACCTCAAAGAAGATGTCGCCCGCCGAATGTAACTACGAGATTTACGACAAGGAGCTCCTGGCAATCATACGATGCCTCGAAGAATGGGAATCCGAGCTCATGAGCGTTGAGAAGTTCGAGATCGTCACCGATCATAAGAACTTAGAATACTTTACAACCACTCGCAAGCTCACAGAGAGGCATATGCGCTGGTCACTGTTCCTCAGCCGTTTCTCGTTCGCGATCCGTTACCGACCAGGGGCAGAAAACGCCCTTGCGGATGCCCTATCCCGCAGAGAACAAGATATGCCCTCTGACGACCTAGATGACAGGTGGAAGCACCGAGAACATCGGTTAATCGACCCCGCGATTATAGAAAGTCCCAGGCAATCAGATAGCTCCCGCGTACGCGTTAACCTGTCCCGAGCTCAGGAACCTTCGCTCGAAGAACAATGGAAGCAAGCAGCAGAGGCGGACGAATCCTGGCAACAGGCCGCGGAAGCCGTACGAAGCAAAGCACCTCGATTCCCCGCAGGCGTATACCCAAGAACGGACATCTCAGCATGCTCGATTGACGATGACAACTGCCTACGCTTTCGAGATAGGCGATGGGTCCCTAATTCAGAACCCTTACGAACACGGATCATGCAGGATATCCACGACTCGCCGATGACTGGGCACCCAGGGCGTGAGATCATGTACAGCATCATCGCCCGAGGATTCTACTGGCCGGATATGTCGAAGGATGTACGCCGGTTTGTACGCAATTGCGACCGCTGCGGCTCAGTAACAGCATGGCGTGAGCGCCGAAAAGGAATGCTAAAACCCCTGCCTGTCCCCGAACGAACTTGGCGCGATATAGCTATCGACTTCGCAGTTTCCTTACCTGAGAGCGGTGGTTCTACGAATGTCCTAGTCATTGTCGATCGCCTCAGCAAGGGCGTGATACTGCAGCCCTGTGACAAGATGGATGCTGAAGTCGTTGCGGACGCCTTCGTCAGGAGCCCATTCTATCGCATGCACGGCCTACCTTCGTCCATTGTATCAGATAGAGGCAGTCAGTTCGTGAGCGCACTTTGGACCCGCGTATGCCAGCTACTGAGAATCGAGCGAAAGTTGTCGACAGCGTACCACCCAGAGACCGATGGAGCCACTGAGAGGATGATACAGACAGTTAAGAACATCCTCCGAAAGTTCTGCAACTACGCGCAAGATGACTGGAGCGACCTGCTGCCGCATGCTGAGATTGCCATAAACGGCCGAGATTCTGCTACGACAGGTGTAAGCCCGTTCTTCCTTCTACACGGTTATGATTTAGAGATTCTGGACTTCCCTGAGACCCCCCGAGAAACCACGTACGCCCGCAGTCCCGTACAGGCGGCAGAGAACATAGTCAGCAAGCTCAAGAAAGCCCGCGAGTGGGCCGAAGCTTCGATGGCCAGTGCTCAACAAGACTATGAGGACCAAGCGAACACCAGAAGGAGTCCTGCGACCCGTTACAGCATAGGAGACAAGGTCTGGTTAGATCTCAAGAACATAAGAACGGACCGCCCCTCGCGTACGCTGGACTACCGTCACGCCAAATACACGGTAGTAGAAGTGCTAGGCACCCACGACTATCGACTGGACACCCCGCCTGGCATCCACGATGTCTTTCATACGAACCTGCTCCGACCCGCGGCCGAGGACCCGTTCCCTTCGCAAAAGACCTCCGACTGGCAACCACCTGCCATCGTAGGAGAAGACAATGAACTCGAATGGGAAATTGAAGCAATCCTCGGCGATAGAACCAATCGCCGCCGCCGCGAATACCTTGTCAAATGGGTAGGATACGATCGTCCAACCTGGGAACCCGCGTCCGCCATGGACGACACCGTCGCACTCGACGCCTACGAATCCTCGCTCGCCCCGGTAGGGGGGGATAATGTGACGGGTTAGCACCCGTTAGTAGTTAACTTACGCAACCAACCCCCTATCGCCCGTTCGCCCTCTCACGTGCTCTCGCGTACCTACGAAACGCCCCTCTCCTCGCGATCCCGCTCCGCGCTCGCGTAGTCTCTAACGATTCCTCCGCGTAACCCCTAACATTCTTCCGCTCCGCGCTCCACTGCAGCGCGACCCCCGATATTCTTCCGTCCCGATCCTCCTTCTATAAGAACCCCCTCGTACGACCCCTTCTTCTGATCTTCTTTCTCTTTCTTTCCTTAATCGATTCGTAAACTGTTACCAGGATAGTGTCAAGTCCGTTGATATTGCCGTTGGAACGGATCGTACGAACTGCGCAGGCGGTACGAACGGTTTAATCTGCAACATCGGTAACATCTGCTTAATCGGTGGCACGCCCGTCACAGAAATGACTCCTCTATAGGATTATAATCAGAAGAATATGAGGATAAGAATAAAAGTTCAATACCAGCTTCTCTGCAGAGATCTTGCAGTGCTTGTGAATGATGAGAAGAGCAATTATTCATTACTAGATAGTGATAACCTTGTTGACATTTGGGTAGTATCTGGACATGTACAAACTCATTGAATCTCTCTGTATTATAGAACCCCTGATATATATCATAATCAAGATATTCATTGACACTTATTGCAGGTAAGATTGACCATCTGTGAGATCATTTACAGAGCCTTCTAATGTGACAAGAGAATTCTCTGCTTGATCATTCATATCATCAATCTGCAGTACATTCATTCACAGCACTCTCATCTAAAAATATAAGTTGATCAGATTGATACTGAGTAACTTGAATACATCATTCAGCTTGAAGTTTTTTGTTGTGTTGAGTGGCCATAGGTTCAATCTATATCAAATAGAACTGACAGATTAGCAGGTTCTATAAGTGACAATTGCAATAATTAATCATCTTTTTCCATGTCAAATTCAGTTTCTTCAACAATCTAGATATCAATTGAGAGTGGATATCAACATCAAATTCATTCTTCACAAAGCAGACAGCCTCATTGCAATATGCAGTTGGATATGTCTCAAAAAAATCCTTCAAATCTGACAAGATATCTGGTGTGATCTTTGGCTTTACACCTTATATTGAATGAGGACTTCTAGCAGTTTCAAAGCAGTGAATATTTTGTTGGATTTGATATACAGTGGTCAGATGGCACTCAATGGTCTGCACAATCTGAGCAGGTATATAACCATTGTTTAGAAGGTGTATGATCTCATTGGTGGTAAATTCACTGAGCTGGGGGGGCATATTGGCAGATTTGATGATAAAGGTGTGTATTTAATGATAAAGGTGCATATTTGAATGAATTGGATGATATTTGAATGATTCTAGAGATACATGGATATTTTGGTTATTTTTGCGGTGTTTTGCTACTACTTTTCAGGGGGTGGCAGAAAATTCTGTTTTCGCAAGCTTTACGTCCGCCACAATAAGCAACATCATCACGAAAGAGTCAAATATAATGGATAGCATTGCTATCAAAAAATAATGAAAGCAAATATTGAGGAACACGAATCCTTAATTGCAACTATACACTAATAGAATCAATCAATAACGTTCGCCCCACTTCTAATCTTCCTCAATGGATGGGCATGAATCCGGCGGCAGCATACCCTTTGTACCCTCGTCAATTCACGCCTCTACCCTTATAGCTGGAGATTCCTATGCACATTACTCCCCATGTCCACCGGCCATAACCCCATCCACATCCTTAACATCCTCAAATGGCTCAAATGAACCAACCCCATGCGTCCTTGGTGTTGACGAAGCTGGGAGGGGCCCCGTTCTGGGTCCAATGGTTTACAGCGCATTCTACCTTCCCCTACCACTCCACCACTCCCTCCTAGCGGAAGAGTATCACTTCGATGATAGCAAAGTCCTAACTCCTGCAGTCCGATCAAGCCTTATGCGCCAGCTCTCTACGCCTGACAATTCTCTAAGCTCATCATGCGGCTGGGGGGTGAAGGTGATGTCTGCTCGAGACATAGCTGCGGGAATGCTTCGACCGGGCACAAGAAATTATAATCTGAACGCACAAGCCATGGATGCGACAACAGAGCTCATCCGCTGCATTGTCCAGGAGAGGGGAATTAATGTGAAAGAGGTTTATATCGATACTATCGGGAATCCAGAAGCATACCAGAGGAAACTGGAACAGATATTCCCTTCTCTGAAGATTACGGTGGCCAAAAAGGCAGATTCGCTTTATCCCTCTGTCAGTGCAGCAAGCGTCTGTGCAAAAGTTACGAGAGACGTGGCGTTGGAGATATGTTATAGGTCTATGATGGAGCATTGCAATGCTATGGAGCCAGAGAGTAGCGGTGAAGGCTGGGGTAGCGGCTATCCTTCCGACTCTAAATGTGTTGGGTGGCTCAAAAATGATATGGACAAACTATTCGGATGGGGGCACGAATGTCGGTTTAGCTGGGGGACTGCGAGGGAACTACTGGAATCGAAAACAAGTATCAAAGTGGACTGGCCTGTTGAGGAAGATGACGAGACGCAACGGTTAACTGATTTCTTCTCGTTTTCGGTAACTGGTACCAATAATGAGGAAAATGACGAATTACGAGATTGGTACGGCCAGAAGCCTCAGGAAATATTTTGAAACACCAAAAGGAAAAATAAGATATCGCCTAAACAGACTCTACGGTTGCTTCAAATGATGATGTAATGACACTGACATGACAGAAAAGCCCCTAGAATGTACCCCTCCATTGTGAATAATGTCATACCCATGCATCCAGCACATTGGAATAGTTCCATATAATACACACTTAACCCAACCATTAATTAGCTAAATTTTTTTTTTTTAAGAAAAAAAAGGGGGGGGAGGGGGGGGGGGTTACTATAAATAAGAAAGCTAAAAACCCAAACGCTTAAATCACAAAGGCAAGTTTCCTCTGATCAGAGAGTCGTGGTCGAGAAGTAGTAAGTATCCCAGAGATATTGGTAGTCTTCCACAATACTCCCAATCAGTCCAACCAATGGTTTGTTTTCTAGCCTCTTGACGAAACCCTGCAGCCAAACCCTGCGCAAACAGTATAGTTAGCATCCCTATATGTTAAACAATTTCAAGTGTTGCGGCTCGGAGGGAATGAAAAGACCAAAACATACTTCGTAATATTTTCATAAAACGCGCCCCTCATCACCCACCAACTCATTGCCCAACCCCGTTTCTGAAGCTCCTCCCTCTCCAGTGCTGTTAAGGCCCGTAAACCACCCGCAACCCTTTGTCGGAAATCTTTCTTTGCGAGCTGCCTGCATCCATACTCCATGCCAAATCCAATAAGCCAAGGCGTCCAGCTCTTCTTTTTGTCTCGCCATTTCTGTAGCGCCAGTGCGTAGATAAGAGGGCGAAGGATATATAACACCTCGGCAAGTTGTCCCTGCCCGGAGACTCGATGAAGGAGAGTTTTCGGAGGTTTTATATCATCGGCAGTAAGGACTCTGGATATCAGATAGTTTGAAAGGTCACTAACATCTGGTAAAATCGGTAGTGATAGGCCTGTCCTTGGCATCGGCCAACTGAAATCCGAAGATGACCCTCCTTCGCTAGGATGGGACGACCCGCCATCGCATGAGTTGACGAGTTCCTCCTCTTCCGGGCTTCTTGGGTCTATATCTCTCTCCGGTAAAGGTGGGGAAACCAACGGTCTAGAATTCGTTATGCGGAGTAACACCAATCGGCATAATGCCTTCACGCCTTCGATAAACACGACAACGCGCCAACGGATTTTCTCCCCGCGACGGCGCGCTATCATTTCCCAAAGTAATTCCGTATATTGGATCATCTGTAGAGTTAAAGCTACCCGCTGGTAAAGTGAGGAGCGCAATGACCAGTATTTGGTATATCGTGCATGAGGTGTAGGGCTAGGACGCGTAATGGTGGCAGGAAGTTGGGAAACAACGCGTGAAACGAGGGAATCATGATATAAAGATAGAAGTTGGACGCCGGAATGAACTGCGTATATTTAGTTACTAGATACCCTTAACGATGGTGAATCTGGTCGAAAAACATTGCGTGTAGCTTTCTGACTTACGGGACTCTGAAGCAAGCTCAGATTCTCGAAAACGTCCTAATAGAGAAAATGACGGATTAGCCAACGTTCGTCTAGAACATAGATGTATCTGCCATGTCAATAGAGGATATGATGGAACCCTACCTGGAATTATATATGTCAACGATCTGAGGGTGGATTCGATTTGGCTGATAGAGCTGGAATTCCTGGTTACAAAGTCTTCATACATCATTCTCAGCTTCCTCGGGTGAGATGAATCCGGTGGTAGCCGACCGCGATCCTTCTTTAAAGGCTCCATCGCAATACGATAATAAAGCGTTGAAGCAGACCTCGTCCTATCCTCGTGGTTTGCGGCCGGTTTTGCGGTTGGAGCCCGAGCTGGTTCGCGATTCCACGTGACGCGCTGCCAATAGATGCCGAGGCATTCGGGGAACGTCAGAGACGCTATCTTTTGACTTTGACTGAACGAAAATCCCAAAGATAAAAAATTCTAGAAGTAGCTTATGTAAATGAGGAACAACATCATCGCCGTATAATAGAGGAGATATATCTAAGATCTATTTTTAAATAACTAAGTTCTTGCGGGCGATATCCGGCGTTGCAGAAATTGCAATGAAAACCACCAGACAGTAAATATAAGAGAGGAATATATTGATAGATAACTACATTTTGCGGTTTACCTATTCATCAGCAAATCTCCATATCCCCCCTGGCCTCATCGCTTCCTTATGCCTTTCAGCCAATTTCTCTTGCTCAGCCTTTTTCGCATCCTCCCGATCACGATCTAGCTCTTGAGTGCTAGGCATATCCGTGCGCCAGAACCCAGGCGGCGAACGCGCTCGCTCATGGGCGTGTCGGTGTTTGCCAAACTTATTGGCAAGATATCTCGTTCGTGCATCTAGCAGTAACTCCCGCAGCTCCTTCTCCGTCGTTGTCTCTAAGACGACTCTATTGTCGCCCAGGTATTCATCCAGCACCTCTCGGTCCTCCTGGTCTAAGTACTCCAATGACGCATCGTTATTACCAGCTGTTGCAAATCCCTTGAGCTTCGCCAGGGTGCGGAAGCCTTTTCCGCAGCATTCTGGACGGATACAGGCTGGAAGACAACGCCTCAGGTCCTTTCTGCGAACTACCTCGTCGAATGCATAATCGAGTCCCTGATTTCTTTCTGGGTTGAGTTTGAAATGTTCAAACCCGAGTCGATGGAGAGGCCTTGCTCGAAATGGCTCATCCTCTGGTAGCACCTCATCGTCGGTTCGAGGTTGTTGGTGATCTGAAGAACTGCGTAAATTTCTCGAAATTGGGGGGAGGGGTTGTCGCGGTGATGGGATACACTCCGCGATGATCCGGGACCGAGGTTCTTGGGGTGTTATAGAACTTTGCCCTATTTTACTTGGGGTTCCGGGAGGTACGTTATCCGAACCTACAGAGTTTCGAAACGGGGAGTTCAGTATTGGTCGTTGCCGCGGCACAGTTTCTAGAAGATCTTCCAAGCGTCCAGCAGCAGGAGATTCATATTTCTCAGTCTTCGAGCTCGTGTGCCGCTTGCCGGCAGGGTGAGATTTTTTCAACTTCAAATAACTGCCTTCTTCCTCATCTTCCGCCACTACATGAACCTTGGAGACTCCCTTAGAGTCATACCGTCTTCGTTTGGTCCCTTGATTCGGAGTATGCCCATCTGCATTTTGAACAGAAGAAACATTGGTATTCACTGGCTGAAGGGCCAAGCGGTGTTTGGTTCCAGCTAATTGCCGCCCACCTAGACTTGGTAACCCTATTCCAGACTCTTCACTCTCATCAAAAACAAGGAAGTGGTTGCCCGGCAGTTGAACAAGTTGATGATCAACAGCATGCTCCCCTTGTATAATTCCATGGTTGTCTTTTTGGCTGGTGTTCAGGCCCAAGCAGTCATCGTCGCCATCGCCCTCAATATCATTGTCATTGTTTGTGCTATGGGTACTCTCGAAAGGGCTAGTTGACGTAGGCTCACTCTTTACGGTAATAGGCGTGGTAAAACTACCCGTCTCGCGGTGGTTTTTGGCATTATTTACCACTGGTTGTTGATTTTCCTTCTTCCTCCCTCTAACTGGCCTCGATAAGACGAAAATTGGGTTTTCGACGGTGGGTGAACTTGGAAATATATACGGTTCGATAGCATACCGGGGATCCTGGGTTTGGGTTGACATTATATCCGAGGAGCCCAGCTCCGAGGAAGGTTGCTGCGGCGATTCTCCTGGAGCCATTCTAGCTCGAGTTTTCGAACTAGGAAGGACAGGTGATTGGGGTTCTTGGTCTCTGTCTAATGTTGTAATAGCCGCACTCCTCTCTATAAGGCCTTGTTCCTGCAAATGGGGTTGGCATATTTGATCCGGAGGTCCGATTGTAAGTTTATCGGACGTTGAGGCCGACTCCCTCTGCCCCGGACGATGTTGTTTCAGTGGACAATAAGCTGCAATAGTATCATCTCTCCGGAAAAGGACTTTCTTTCCATGGACATAAACCTCAAATGCATCACGTTCGAAACAGCTTTTCCACGATGTGGCCTTGCCTTTGCAGCTCTTCAGCTTCTTCTTCACTGTGAAAAAGGATTCAATCAAACTAGCATTCTCTTGGAAAAGTTGTTCATAACACTTTGCTAGATTCGAATAATTCTCATAAGAAATAGTCTCTGGTTTCTCCTCTTTACCCATGAAATCATGGATAACCGAATTTGGAGCATATCGCTGTCGGTTTTCGAGTAGCCTTTCCTTGTGATCATCAGCCGTGTCACTCGGTTCGACAGTTTCGATGTGTCGTTGTAAGTCTAAATTCTCCATTTCCAAAATTTGAATCCGCCTAGACTGCTCCTCGAGCTTTACTTCTAGCTCTGCATTCCTTTGTTTCCACTGTCGACATTGGTTGACTAGTCCACCAACCTGCTCTGCAAGGTTGCTGAAATCGGTCTCCTCCATTAGATTAGGACTTTCGTGACAGTAGTAATAATTAAGGAAACAGCCGTCGCTCATAGTTGTCAAGGTGACCCGAAAGGATATATTAAGAATACTGCAAGACGAGAATTGGCCCTGAAAGCACCGGTTCTGGACATCGCGCTCGAAACGCGTCGGGTTGGACTGATAGCGAAATCACATGATGATAAGGGCTTGGCGATGTGCCAACTTTCTGCTCAACATGAACACAAACACAACCTTCCAGCGGTGAATCATTTTAGGTTGGGAACTTATATTTGAATGGGATAGCGATTTTCTTAGTATATTTCGTCCCGCGAGATGACAAAACGTCGCCTTGACGACTTGCAAACAGAAAATGCGGCCCCAGAGAAGCGAATGCGTACTGATGATTCCAGCAAGAAAGATCTCCTTTCAAGACTGAGCGATGAACTCATACTTCATATCCTGAGTTTTCTACCTACGCAGTCGCTGGGTTTTTGCCAGAGGTATATCATTTCTTTATTGTTTTTCCCTTCTTGTGCGATGTTCGTGGTTTGTGGGTGTTCTTATACCTATATGACCAAGCATATCTCACATTCACTATGCCAAATTTCCCAGATTGTCGCATCGATTTTATGGACTCGCGGGTGATTCGGAACTATGGAAGCAGAAATACTACTCGCGTTGGGTGTGGCCTCGGACCCGTCGTATTCGTCATCTCAAGGACTCCGGCCTTGCTTCCAACGTCACTTCCAAGCCTGCCGGTTACATCCCAAGGCCGTCGAGATGGATTAGTCTTGAGCATTCAGCTAGAAATTTAGAAAATATCGATTGGAAGAAACAGTATCGTCTGCGGTATAACTGGTCCAAGGGATCGTGCCGGGTCACTGAAGTCGAAGTCGCACCACCATCGGTCCCACCGGTATTAGTGAAGTTATGCAAAGGGATCGTGTTCACGGCTGATGCGGGAAATGGGCTTCGCGCGTGGACTACTACTGGGGACACGAAATTGTGCCTGGCTAAATTGTCATTTTCTACTGTAAAAGAATGGGACGGCCCCCGTATCACACCCACATCGATTACCGTGACGCCAGGAGGTGACACGGAAGGCGATTTCGATGTCACCGTCGGGTTCGAGGATGGGAGCTACAACGTATATTATTTCAACTGTGACAGTGCACGTTTTTGTTTCCGATTCTCACATCCCACATCGCCTAACGGGGCCATTACTGCTCTTGCATCCTCATCCTCCTATCTCCTTACGTTATCCCAGAACCAAACGCTATCTCTCTACCGGATTTGTTCTTCGGGAAGGATGGGGGAAGAACGAGAGCACACCACGGAGTTGCCGAAACTAATCGCCTCCCTTAAAGCCAGCAACATATTCGCTCCACTTTCTCTATCCATCCGGTCCTTAGCGACCGAAATCGTCGCATCCATAGCCTACAGCTTCTCCCGCATAGGTTGCGGATGGTCAGTTGGGATACAGGAACTCCGGCTAAACCATGATGGCGAGAATCTAGGGTCCCGACTTGCAACGACTGTCGACATCCAATTCTGCGCTAACCTCTTTAACCCCTCGACCAAGATACTAAATACCGCCGGCAAAACTCATCACAACAAAATGATGAGCGTCGCAAGCCCCATCCATAGAAATAACAGGAAAGCTCGATCCATTACCACCACACCTTCCTCGGTGCCCCATAGCCCGTCTCTCTCCTACACACGTCCTCCCACCTCCATCTCGTACAGCCATCCATATCTCCTCACCTCTCACGCCGACAACACGTTGACAATGTACCTAGTCGTCTCCACCGCCAATGCTCTCACGATCAAAACAGGTCGTCGTCTCTGGGGCCATACGTCCTCCGTATCTGGCGTGCAGGTGAGTGAGCGCGGGAAGGCTGTCTCTGTCAGCTCTCACGGCGGAGAGATTCGTATTTGGGACTTGGAGGATATGATATCACTATCCTCGTCGTCATTGTCGTCGTCGTCTTCATTTTCCTCGGCACGGATGTTGCACAGGGATGACAGTGTTCAGCTCCGCGCTGAAAATGAAAATGGTAATGAAAGTGAAAACCACGGGACGGGCACGGGGTGGTGGAGAAGGCGGTGGCTCCAACAACCTTTAGAACTAGTTCTCGAAGCCATTGAAAAACGCGGGGATGGACTGGGACTTGCGCTGAAGGATTTGTCGAGAGAGCTGACGTTGGCGGCCCGAGCAAGAGGATGGGTGGGATTTGATGACGAACGGGTTGTGGTGCTTCGAGAGAGGGGGTTGGGGACACAGTTGTTGGGTTGTTACGACTTTACGTGATATTAGTCGAATCGGTTAAAGTTTATATGAATAGTTGATATAACTACATCTGTCACGTCTGTCATGGTGTTGCTCGTGCGGTCTTACCTAATCCAAATGTACAAGTTCTAGGTAACTAATGAAATGGGCTTCATGCAGATTGGAGGAGGGGAATGTGACACACTCCGTAGCAGTATGTATGCGTATACCGCATGTACTGACAGGATAATATCGAGCCAGGGGCCTCGGAGTCCGAGCGCAGGCTGGGAGGGGAGGACCTTGGGAGAGATGAAACAGCACCCGATTCCCCCTTAAATGCTTCTTCATCATCAGCTTCTTCTTCTGCTCTTCTCCTCTCTTCTTCCCCCCCTTCCTCCTACTCCTGCTGCCCTTTGATCCGATCTGCAATGCCTTTTGCGAATTGTGCTGCTCGGGATTCCTATTTCCCGCATATCGCATCAGTTATCACTTCTATTTTTCTCTACGAAAATGATTAGGCCAGTAGGATACGGAGGTGAGGGTGGCGGCGGGATTGATAGAGACAAATGGCTATCTGACGTACATGTACTGTACAAGTACAGCACCTTTTCATTCTACTGCACAAAGATGGCGCTCAATACACTAGCAGCTATCTGCACCATGACAAGAAGGAAAAGCCGAAACAGCAGGTCGATCAAAATGGAAAACTCTGAATGAGAGCCCTGTTATATCGTTTCTGAGGAATACCAACAGAGATAGAGAGAGTGCAGGACAGAAAGACTAGGAGGATAAAGGTATCTCTCCTTTGATGTCTCTTCAAAATAAAATAATGACTAACAATCCCAGTCCAGTGACCGACTGCCAGCCGCAGACCATCGTTCATCACTTGTCAATGAACTTCACAATTCCCCCATTCATCCCCATCTTTTTTTGTCTCCTCCTCCTCCTCCTCCTTTGTCTCTTTGCTCTCATTGACCTCACCAACATATCCCTCCTCTTCTGGACTCCCAATTGTTACAGTACGTATGGCCTGCTCCCCTTTTCACCTGCGCTGTTCGAAGTGGGCGTGTTTTTCTTTTTTTGCGCCCCTCGCTTCGAGCCGCCGCCGCTTTCAAGCTTTCCCCGCATCGCACTATTCGGCATTTTTGAGACGTTGAGAAAAATGTCTTTTTTTGTGGGCGGGGGGCAATTTTTTTTTGTTTTTTCAAGAACTTTTTTCAAGATTTTTTTTTTTTTTTTTTTTTTTTTTGCCTTCCACTGACCTGGTCACTGACAAACAAAACTTTTTTTCCCTTTATTCCCTTTCAGGAATAATAACCAACTAATAAAGAAAATCCTCCTCTCTGAACCTCCTCGACCTTCATCAACTCAGATCGATTTGCAATAATCCCATTAGTTTCCAGCCCTTTCGACTACCACCATTTATCTTCCCCCCTTCGATCCTTATATAAACGAGAACACTTTTCAACTCTTTTCCAACTCACCAAAGATGGATTACCAGTCAGGTGGCCGTGGATGCTTCAATTGTAAGTCCGTCTTGTTACAATTGCGAATACAACTTTTTTCGGGTGGTGTTTGAAATTCTGTGTGTGGTTGTATCGGTTGTGTGGGTTGATGGTCAGAACTGATTCCTTCGCCCTGTCCCACTCACTGGCCTGGAACTTTTAATCCCTCTTTCAACTTGCCCATCTTGTCTTCTTTGGGAGCCTGACCAGTATCGAAATAACATCAAGACGACATATGATGTCTTCCCAGGCGCAATGCACGAGAATTTTTATGTTTCCGGTCCCTTTTGCACTTTGAAATTGGTTTCCAATTCGTAACTCAAGTATACTTTTTTTCCAGAACGCAAATCCCGCTAACATTGTTTCCGCTGTAGGTGGCGATGCCGCTCATCAGGTTAATATGTTTTGCGCCCTGTGGATTTGTGGATGGCATTGATTTTTGTTTTTTTCTCCCCTCATTAGGCTCGTGATTGCCCCAAGAAGGGAACTCCTACCTGGTAAGTCGTTCAGCACACTCACCTCACCGGCTACTGCTGTTCCATGTCTAAGTCGATTTTCTTTTAGCTACAACTGTGGTGGTAAGTCCCTATACTCATACTCGATGGGTGGGAGGAGATTCTAATGCGGTTATGTTTTCCGCTTGCAGGACAGGGACACGTCAGTAAGTATTTGCTTAAAACACCATTACTCCAGCAGTGAATTCTGCGCAATCCATCTAATTCACTCTCCCAATTTTAGGTCGTGAATGTACTGCTGCCCCCAAGGAAAAGACTTGCTATCGATGCGGCCAGGCCGGACATATCTCCCGTGACTGCACATCTGCCGGCTCCGGAGACAGCTATGGTAACAGCGGTGGCTATTCCGGTGGCGGAGGAGCTGCTGGCGGCCAGGAATGCTACAAATGTGGCCAAGTCGGACATATCGCCCGTAACTGCTCCCAAAGCGGAGGTTACGGATCCGGTGGTTACGGTGGTGCTACTGGTGGTGGTTACAGCGGTGGCTATGGCGGTGGTCGCCAGCAGACTTGCTACTCGTGTGGTGGTTACGGGCATATGGCTCGCGACTGCACTCAGGGTCAAAAGTGCTACAATTGTATGTTTTATTGTTACCCTCCTTTAATTTCCCTTTCCCCTTCCTTTCCCCTCTCCATCTCCCTAGACAAATTTCATATCTAATCCGGGTTTTACTTTTTTTCTCTGTCCTTCAAGGCGGTGAAGTTGGCCACGTCTCCCGAGACTGTCCCACCGAAGCTAAGGGTGAGCGAGTTTGTTACAAATGCAAACAACCCGGCCATGTCCAAGCAACTTGCCCCAACTAAGCGAGAGAAGGGCGTTTATTGGGGTCGTGAGGAAGAGAAATCGAGGAGAAATTGGATTTCCTTTTCTTTCGTCTTCTTTTACTTCCATCCATCCAAGCGCGCGGGCTTTCTTTTTTGTCCCCCATGGCCCATTGTTTGGAAGGATAACTTGGTCATGACTCAGAAATGAGCAATTTCTTCTTTTTTTGTCTTGTTTCTTTCTTTTGCATTCTTGTTTTTCCTCATATTTTAAATCACGAGATTATGTCTATTTTCTTCCATTTTTTATGCTACTGTCACGCAAAGAAAACAAGTCCCTTTTTTAAACTCCAACAGAACATCCCCACCATGCAGGACATCTTACACACACACATCCATACATGCCAGAACATGTATTTTGTTTGTCAAAGCATTCAAGTATTGATAGGGAAGGGAGAAAGGAAACAAGAGAGGAAAACATTTTCAAGGCACTGAGGAAGGTCTTTTTATCTTCGTTTCTTTATATATATTTTCTTTTTCTTTCGTATGTGTTTCTTTCCTTTTGTAATGGGATCTGAAACTGAAATTGAGAGTGAAATTGAGAGGAAGAAACGCAAAGCGAAGCAAACACCACTACACTGCGCACACATGGATTCCCCGCAAGACCTAAAACAAAGCAACAAAATTGGATCAAAAATGGCTCTATTGTCTTTTTTTATGGGATGTTTTTCATTTCAGAAAACTGAACCCCTTATTCTCTCCTTTTCTTTTTAAAGGATGCATTTTCATGCCCCGGTCTTGGCTTTTCGCTTCGTCTTCTTCACGCCGTACATTTTTGGTTCTATGGTTTATCAAACATGCCCGGGCATTGTATTATTTCATATTGCCGCGGATCTTATCTTCTTTCTGGGGCTTTCTCGTTTCAAACTGGGTCAAGTGTAAAATTGTGTCTTAGGGCTCTTCATATACTTTGTGAAAAAAAATACAAAAAAATTAACATATCACTTTTCCTATCAATATAGACCGGTTACACTGGATAAGAAATGACTCGGGGCTCCTTTTCTTCTCTTTTTGTGCTAGGGCTATGATGGTAGAAGCGAGCAGCAACCCACTCGTCTTTTTCGTTCTTACAATACCCACACCACACATCGGCTTCTTCGAATCTTTGAGTGAGGGGAAGGAATATATCCATTGCCCATCTATATAAAATGTACACTTGTTTGATGGAGTGCGTGGGGGAAGTAGGTGGGTTGGGTCATCATTCTCATATTGTGTTCACAGGATGAATGAATATTGACCTCATATTGTATCAGGCTTTATTTTATGAACGGCGGGCCCGATACAACTCCCCACTCAAGTTACGCATCTTCTAAAGGTAGGGCACAGAAATAGCGGGTTTGGGGTTGGGTAGGGACCCTGGGTATATAAAAATAGCCGAAGGGCATTATTTGATTTGCTACTCTACCTTTCCTTCCCCTCCTATTCTCTCTCCCGTTCCTCGCCAGATGCCTTCACAAGTCCTTACTATCTACATTCTTATTAGCAATCCCAACCGCCTCCCCCAGATCCATGTCTCCAACAATCTCCCACTGGACCTTCTCCCCCCCTTCCCCATCAAATGTCACAGAACTGGGCCCTTGAAACACATATCTCCGGCCCCGAGGTGCCGGGTAGAACTTCATAAACACCGCCTCTGGGTACGTTGGGATGTCGCGGTTGCGCCGGATGGCTTCCTCCTCCTCGTCACGGTACCGCCCACCCGCGGATTCGTTTATGGCAGCTTGGAGCTCGACGTTGTTACGTTCTTCAACGGCTGGTGTGTAGAAGCCCGTTGGGAAAGCGTCACGTCGGCTGCGAGAGAGGATTTCGTCGAGGGAGTAGGACATTATGGAGGGGAGAGGGTTTCTGTTGACTCTGCTGTGCGATCTGCCGCCGCCATCAGTGCTACTAAGGATAGTGGCAGCAGTGGTGAGAGGTCGACGCTCGCTCATGTTGAGATCATATCTTTGTGTTGGTTCTGGCGATTGTGTGCTGCGAGAAGATAGTATTTGCCGTGCTGCTGGAGAAGTGTTGCGTCGAGCTATGGCAACCGCTGGCAGCTGTGGTCTGTTGAGAGCTCTCTAAGTAGCCTGTTAGCAGCAGGAGATTGCCACACTAGGACTGCGGAAAGGGAGGGGACCAGGGAATACATACCTCCATCAGAGCTCTATCTACTCGAAGCTCCAGCCCACTCAGCCCGCTAGGGGTGCCCGATAGACGTCGCGAACATGCAGGTTGAAGAACAGAGTCTGGCTCACGAGGGCCCTGTACGAGCTCACCCTCGTCATGTTCGACACGCAAGGGCCTATCATCTTGTAGCATGCGACCACCATTTGCTCTCATATGAGAGAGCAATCGGCTTGTTTGGTCCATACCCAACTTGTTTCCTGACCCAAAGAGTCGATCCAATCTCGCTCGTTCTTCCTCTGCTATCCTCCTTCGGATCCTAGCCTCTTCCGCATCTGCAACACTTCTCTCAAGAATCGACCGGAGCTGGTCCTCTTCATCTTGCCTCGCGCGCTGGGCCTCGGCGGCCTCAGCCTCAGATTCGCGAAGGGCTTTTTCCTCATTTTCCAGTTGGGACACAACCGCGTCTTCCAGGTTTTTCTGATGCTCTTTATGTAGCCGCAGGCTCGCTTGAACAGCGCAAGTGAGCATTTCATCTTCGTCGGTTTCCATAACGTGAAACGCTCTTTCGTTCCCGAAAACTAGGCAGAGTAAAATCGTTGCTAAAGTCTGTAGCTTCTCTTCTTTTTCCTTGGAGCCGAGCACGGTAAGTAGATAGATATTAGCTTTGGCTTCTTGTTTGTCAACTTAATAAAAGTGGTATAGAGAAGATTCATGTTGCGAGGAGCCCCCGCCCTTGCATATTTCATGTATGACACTGGTGAATATGTCAGTGACAAAATGGAGCCATCAAAGCAGACATTTCCCCAGGTGTTCAGAATTGCACAGGGTCAATTGAGAATTGAGTTTCCTGTACATCTGTATCGTGTAGAGATGCTCTAATCCTGTATATTATTGTAAGTTACATGAAAAGGCGGATATCAAACATCATGCATAGAATGTTGTTTACTAAAAAAAAAAAAAAACAAACGATATGCCGTAAGTTATACAAGCAACTAGTTTGGTATAGCATATTCATGAACTGCAACTGCACATAGTCATTCTCTTGAACTGCGGGACATCTCCGCAGAATCGCTCCTCCTCGTCTTTGTCCAAATTCCACTCCTCCTGGAATGGATTCAGGGCCATGTGCATGACACGGTCGAGAATCCCTCGGTCGCCCTTGTTCTCGACATGTTGGATCACCTCATCGAGGATCCAGGATCGTGGCAGAAACTATAGAATAATATTAAGATCTTGCATATTTTCCAGAACTAGACAAAGGTTATAATATCCATGTATCCAGGTTTAATAGCACGGGGTGGGGGGGAAATACTGACTTTCGGATTAACCGCCTTCATTGCTTTCTGTCTCTCTTCATCCGGTTCCATACCCCAGTCTTCAATGATACGGTTCCGCCATGAAGAAAGCCATTTGGCAATACGATCTTTGGCAGATTCTTCAGTATTGCCTATTCCACCGACGCCCTCTTTATGAAAGAAGATGCTTGCAATAGCTTTCCTCTTTTCATTAGTGTCAATGTCGGCGAGGTAGATGTTGGAAAGATGTCTGAAAAAATGATTGAAGTCAAGTTCAAGAGCCTCGAGGGTATCAAGTAGCTCTGAGAATAGCTCCTGGAAATCAGATTCCTTGGGGGTTTTCAACGCCAAGCGTGCCGACATGAGTCGTTTGTATTCATTCAGGAATACAGCTTTGTATTCTTCACCAGCGTTATCGATGAGTTTCTCTGCTCTTTGCACAAGGGCCTTGCCAAATTCCTCAGTTACGCCTTTTGAAACGAAGGTCTCGTCATCTACCTTATCGCCAGCGCCCATCAATTCACCCAAGGACTCTCCAAGTCGCACTAAATTCCACCAGATCACACTTGGCTGGTTCTTATATGAATATCGAAGGAGATGATCATCGTGATTCGGGGTATACTGCGGGTCAAAGTTATCCATGAACGCAAATGGGCCGTAGTCGAGAGAAAGACCCATAATGGACGTATTGTCAGTATTTAACACTCCGTTCATGAAACCGTACGCCTGCCATGCGGCAACGGTCTTTGCGTTACGTCGAACTATCTCTCGATAGAGGCGGCTAAAGCGGTTCTCCTCCGCGCCTTTCTCTCCCTGGATTTCGTTTTTAGGCACACCTCGCAAAGGATTATCGACAGACGGTGCATCTCTTACGTCAGGCGATACCGCAGATAGAGCGGCTGGAAGGGATTCCCAGCCAGGAAAAACATCCTCTGCTACATAGGTCGCCAATTTCCTGGAGAGATCTCTATCACCGCGGGATCCGGGAAGGTCAAAAGTTCCGATCCTAATCCAAGATTGAGCAAAACGAGTCACAATGGCACCGGGCTCTAGCCGCTCTCTCCGCACTTTGGAATTGGGCAATAACACGAGCGAAAGGGCGCGTGTTGTAGGGATTCCCAGAGCATTCAAAGCTAGCATCCGAGTGTTAGCAAAAAATAGAGATATTTTCATAGTTACAAAAAACACCACCTACCTTCTGAAACTATATACTCCCTGACGCTTGAGCGAAGAACGGCTTTTCCATCGGCAAACCGAGAATAAGGAGTTCTGCCAGCCCCTTTAATCTGAATCTCATATCGGATTTTCGTAGCAGGATTCGTTGATTCGAAGAGGCTGATGGCTCGCTACATATGTTGAGCATGAGTATTGTAGCTTAAAAATAGACAAGGCATATAAATGGCAACTTGGGCATACCCCATCTCCTAGCTGTCCAGCCCATGAACCACTGCAGAATTGCTGTTAACATACATCGTGATGCCGGGTGTCGAGTGGGGCATATACATACAATTGCCAGCCTCCACAAAAGTATTAGCACAAAATACAATTACGATAAAAGCTTACGAAAGATAGGCGTAAAACTAGACTTTCTCACCACCATAACACTGCGCCCACGGATATACTCCTCCATTGTCCCTATCCCAAAATATTTTATTTCCCGAGACCAGGTCGCGGAACTGCGCAGTCCTCTCCTCGCCATCTTTGAGGCCGATGTCCCTTAGCGCCTGCGGACTTACACTTAACAGCTCTGGTTGATCTGTCGGCTCAGGGCGGACATAGGTAAACAAAGCGCCTTTAACCAGCCGTGGTCCAAGTGCTTCGCGGGGCGCATTGTGAGAGGATTCTGGGGTTTCAAAAGCGGGGTCTGCTGGCAGTTTTGATGTGAAATTATTGGATTTGGGGAGTTCATCTAGAGACACTCCTGCCGTAACCGAATTGCTGCTTCCATTTCTTGTATGCGAGCCGGATAGATGAGCGGCCATCTGAGCAATGCGGAACTGAGGGGTAAACGATAGGTGGATGTTGCGAAACAGCATATGGCGAGAGAGTAAGAGATGGGAGCACTTTTGCGGGGAGGAATGCTCAATTAATTATCATACAGCAATCTAAATAATTTGAAATACGGGAAATAAAAATGGATTGACGGAACGAAAAGAGTCGATGCCACTGGGGAGGATGAGTGGAGAATGAGTGAAGTAGAGTTATTGGCAGCATTGGGTGGAACGATGACATAACTGGGTTGCGATGGAAAATAGTCAACTATTTATATCAGGCCGAGCCAACCCCTGATCCTTCAGTCAAAAGTCGATACAACCGATCTGAACAAATAAAAATATTTCATGATGTCCAGTTTCATATTCAACTCCATCTTTCGTCAACAAGCATTTCCAGTCAACCCATGTTTTATCGAGCTAACCATGTGTCAAGGCGATCAGATTATCCATGGATCCATAATGATGGCTCCTTTAAGATATCACCATCTCTCCCGCCCAGTTCGCAGCAACAAGTTTCATATGTATGTACCCCCATTCCCCGACATGGCAGAAGACTGTATTAAAAGGGGTTCTGTTTCCGACTGGCCATACCAATTGGATTCAATCGCTACAAGCATAGTCATTGATAAAGACATACCCTACTTGGCTTTGCGTTGCAGAATTCTTGGGCGAGTCATGTCTAGGAAACTGGATGTATCCACTTGCCACTGTATATGCTCTTTTGGGGTTCATAGAAGGAAGTCTCGAGAATGGTGTTCCACTTAAAACATCAATATGGATTGTCCGGATCCATATACCGCCTCAGCTTTCCCCTCCCTGTGGTTGCTCCATCCCCCTTCCGCGATCTTCTAATCTGACCAACCAACATTACTTCTCTGAAATGGTTGTCTTACCAGAGATCAAACTCAATGATGGCAATTCCATCCCAGCGGTTTGTAGCCCTCTAAACCTTCTGAGCCTAGACCTTTGGCCTCAAATATGGCAATTGAGGTATGGAACTGGCTCAATTGCCTTTGACAGCTCGGCTGTGGAACCGGAACTGCGTGGCTCAAAGAATCAGGCGAAATTATATAAACAGGGAACTGGTTGACTCAATAAAGGAGGTAATTAGTTTAGGGTATTTCTACATCGACGGCGTAGAGGTATACGGAAGCGAAAGAGAAATTGGACCCGCTAACAAAGAAAGTGGGGTTGCGCGAGGAAAACTGTTCGTCATGACCAAAGTTATCACGAACATTAGCGACATCCCCCTTGCCATTGATGCCAGCTTGAAAAAGCTTCAACTGACTATGCAGATTTGTACGTGTCATAATCGTTGTCGCTAAAAATCCTGGTTGAAATGCGTTCATTCCTAATGAAACTTTTACCTCCTTTACTTCAGATATCCAATCCACAGCCCATTTGTTGTTAAATCTGATAAGGACCTCCAAGGCGTGTGGGCTGAGACGGAAAATGCGAAAGAATCAAGCAAAGTGCGATCTATCGGCGTCTCAAACTTCCGCCAGCGCGAGCTCGAAGCGGTGTTAAAGACAGCCAGAATCATACCCGCCATCAATCAGATTGAGTATCATCCATACCTAGAGCATGGTGACACGGTGCTTTTGAAAGAAAAAAGGGGTATCAGAAATGTTGCGTATGACCCACCCCGCCGGCAACGACGGCTAAAGGTGGTCCACTTGATGGCATCCTGGCTGGGTTAGCCAGGAAGTACGCTGTTACTGAGGTGGAGGTGTTGCTGCGGTGGTGTATCGATCGCGGTGCCATCGCCATCACGACGAGCAGTAAAAGGTCTCGATTGATAGGCTATATCTGCACACTCCAATTCAGCTTAACCCCGGCAGAGATTGGAAGCATTTCCCGGGTTGGAGGACGGAAGCATTTCCGGGCGTTTTTCAATGATAAAATAGCTCCTGACGATCGATCATGACGAGCCGCTCCTTTTTCTGCAAAAAGGCTTGTCCACCCCGAAGATTTCGCTTAACTATTTGAATGATAGAAGATTTGAAATTGGCTGTGTCATCAGGTGGCTGCAGATTTTGCCTAACGTCCTCGTTCTCTCTCTCTCCTTTGTTTTAGCACTCTTTGACATTGGATGCCCGATGCTTCAGTCCATGACAAGCTCTATTTTCAACAGGTGTCGTACGTACCGTACAAAGTGGCTCTGACATAGAAACCCTGTGACCTTAGCAAAGATATTATTAGAAGTTTATTCATGATTTTTTTCCTACTTAGATGTAGTAGAGAAATATGGAAATAACCTCTTCCATTGCTTTCCCCCCTTGCTTAGTAAATGTTCCGGGATGATATGAACGCCTCGAACTTAGATATTAACTAGTACAAGGACAAATCAAAAAGGATTTGTTTGCTTTGGGAATGGCGTCCACGGGTGCAACTCTTCAACATTGGGTTTGATTTGGGAGCGTCCGACTGGGCAATCCAATGTAATCCAATGCTGATGGTTCTTCGGCGAGTTCCTAATACGTGATCCATCAGCGACAGCGACAAGGCAACGGTAGGTTTATGACGTGATTCGTTCTTATCGAGAGGTGATTTCATGGATACCGGCGGGATACGGGTAGTGGAATATGTATTGTATAATTTTCTTTTCCCCAGGTCGTCAAGGACGAGCGCAATGCAATACATAACATGATCGAGAGGATGCAAATGATAGTAGCAAAATTAAATTCGCTGTCTGCCGCGAGAGTGGCCAAAGAGGAACACGTTCATTATCTCACAAAGCTTCCAGTAGTTAACAGGGATGAGGATAAGCCCAGGTTGTTTCATCAAAGCGTCAGAAATAGATAGATAAATAAAAGGGGGTCTAAATCTTCACAGACAATAAAGAACTGAAACAATCGGGGGGAAGTTAGTTGTTCGCCTGGTTTTTGCAAACCCCTACGTGCTCTGAGAGCAATCAACCCGCGCCGGCTGGGTGGTGGTCTTTGGATGTTTAGATCTATCTATAGTTACTAGCATCCGCAACAAGGGCGAGTGACTTCCAAATACACCTGTTCTGCAGTGTAGGTGGAAGTACCGAGTTGGGGTAACTACGGAGTATATATATGGTATTTATTTACTTCAAAGAAGTCAACAAGACATCTTCCAATTTTCTCCGGACCAACAATAAAAATATTTTGTCGAGCTGGCCAATACAACTAGTAAGGTATTCGCCAATAACCGGCGCGATCTCCCTCACAGTGACGAAATCCAAGCCCTGTTACGCCAGCTCCACCAGCAGCGGTGATTTCGATCCTTCGTCAGGCCTCTTCTGCTGTGATCTCCGCCACCACACCACCACCTCATCATCGATTGTTCCTCTTCTCTCCGCCGCATTTCCTCCCGCCAACACCCACCACCTCAACGGCCCTGCAGCCTCTCTTGTCTCGAGGGCTCCTGTGTCTGCCGCCCGTTTTCTCGCTGTCTTCCCGGCTTCTCCCAATCAATGGCCTCGCCCATTGGGCCCTGTTCTTTCAACATCACACTGCCCTAAATCCAAGCGCCCATCCAATCATCGTCCTGAAGAACACTGGGTGCCATAATTGCGAAGTTGCTGCCACCGATCGTCTCAACTAATCCATCTATTCCCGCCTCCTTTATCGGCCACCCTCCACTGTCGTCTACCTTCTACCTTTCCTGAATTCGCGTTCTGACCGCGCGCACCCTGGTTTCCTGTTTGTTTCGAGCTGGCGTTGGAAGGGCGTGCCTTTGAGTCGATCGACCAGCCAGCCAGCCAGTCAACCAACCTGAGAAAAACGCACTCCAAGATCCAAACGATCGCTGGCTCCAGCGTGGAATTGGCCTGGTGTGATGCTGCCTCTATTCACTACTTGTGAGTCGAATGCGCATTGTCTTTTCAATTTTTGCCATTCTACCCTGCCCCACCTACTTCACCTCGGGTTCGCACCTATCTTGGTAGGACTGTTGGGAAGCTATTGGCTTATGGATTTGTGCTCTCGTCCAGCAGTTGAAAACGCATGAATGCTCAACGCCCGGATTTCCCTCCAAATCCTCCTGCTCGCTCATTTGTTGAATACGAACAAACCCCCGTGCAAGCGACGTCGTATTCCCAAGCCATATAACCCCTTAAGCTCAGCCTACAGCGCTCAGTTCATGAACGGTCATTGCGCTTGCGACGATAACGATCTGCCATGTCCGTTGAGCTCCAAACCCAAAACACTACCGAATCCTCATCACGTGTACCAGCCAAAAGATCCTATTCAGACTACCTAAAAGGAGTCAATACCCGTTTCAAACACCTCTCCGACAAAGTTCTACCCGCATCTCCATACCTCCTCAGGGTTCCCACCGAAAGGCCTTTCCATCTGGGTTCCCGGTTTGTGAGCAATTGGGCTGTGGGAGATAATAGGCCATTTGCTCCGGAGGAGGAACACCTTCAGTACATGACCTTTCTGCCCCACCAGGACGAAGACACTCTACTTGTTGCTGTGGGGGGATGGTCTGATGAACGTGGAAACATCATGGAAGAAGACACGTCAAAGGCGCCCAGCATTACCACAAGCCCGTCCGTCGACACTCCTCAACATAGGTTCCAACGAAAGAAGATCAGTCTCAGCGACTACAAAAAGAAAGCAAACGAAACTCCAAAATTCCCCCATAGAAGCACCATCCCAGCGGATCGGGTCACCTCAGGAAAACCTAACTCATCTCGGGAACTTATGTCAACTACCACACTACAGCCGATAATCCCTTCTAAAAGAAAAGATACCACGTCCGGAATAACCGACAATCGCCCAGATAAAAATACCAATGGAATCTCCAAACCTAAAAATTCCCGTGATGAGAGTTCCAGATCCATTCCTGGTTCCTATAAACCTCCACCTTCAAGTCGAGAGTCCCCGCCTCTCGCCAAAAAACCCCGGCTAGCAACTACCAAGGAGTCTTCTGGTAATGCTTCCACGAGATCAAAAAATGCGCCCCCTATCGTCCCCGCTCTACTTTCTCCGACACTTCCACCTACTAGCGTGTTGCCTAGGCTCCCTAGATTGCTGTCTCCCACACTTCCCCCAGATGTAGAGGAAGAACTGGCAAAGCTAAAGAGCGACGAGCTGTCTATAAACGAATATTCCAATTCCAGGAAACCTCCATCATCGTCCGGTCCTACAGGATCAAAACCTGAACTGCAGCTACCTCAATCGAATAAAGCTAGACCCCATTCTAATTCTACCTCTAGTTCAAGCGATAAAAGCACCAGGGCTAGAATATCGGTCTCGTCGACTTCTAAACCTCAGTGTAGTAGCGTTGGAAAATCTATACCTGGCAATAATCCGAGCAACAGAGCCGTCGATCCCAAGCAGTCGCATATTTCCTCAAAGCCCAAGAGTACTACGGAACCTGCTAAACCCAGACTAATTGTGAAACTGAGATATGGGAGGGCCAACCGGAAACGGATAGAAGCCTTACTCAAGTTTTCTGGCAAATATAAATTCACGCCTGATAATAGGTCATCGAAACAGAAAACCGAGAGTGGTCAGCGAAAAGATCATAGCGCCCCTTTTTCGAAATTAGCCGAAATGCAACGAGTGGAAAAGCGACCAAGGCACAGGGAGGAGAGTGAAGTCCAGGGATCGTCTGTCAAGCGTCAAAAGCCCAGTACTATTCCGTCTGCGGAGCAACCAAGAACTCCTGTCACAACAATGTTCCACTCTCCTGCTGTTCTACAACAGTCGGCAGTGGCATCAAAGGGCCAATTCCTTACTCCAGGTAAAGATTTGAAGGCGACGGCCATGCGCCGTCTAGGCTCTGGGGACAGTGATACGAGGATGCCAACAGGTTTGGACCGCGCTATAGATACCAACATATCAGGAAACACAGACAAAGCAACCAAACATTCTCCCCTAATACCCAATGATAACCAGCTAAGCAGGCCTCGCGACACGGCAGAGTCTCGCCCATGGTTCGAGGAATCCCAGAAATATTTCAATTTAGGCCGCGAGTTAAAACACTCATCTCGGAGATACGCAGGACCTCAAGCGACGGACAGCGAAGAAAAACTCGGTGCCGCAATTGCAGTCGAAGCGGTTCTCTGTTTTATTCTTGCTTTTATCCTCGATGATAGGTATAAATCTCTAAATCGTCGGCTGGGGGACTCATCAGGTTGGTTGTCCATTGTTCCATACTGGAATATGGTAAAAAGCAACATCGACAAGTACCCACATCTCCATGCCCTCTGTTCCCTCCTCGGTGCCATCTTCCACGAAGTCATCCACGGCCTCGACCTCGAGCGTCTTGCCATCACCGCCATTCCGAGCGAAAATAGCCCCGGACCCACTCCAAACAACGATGGAAACACCGTTACTTTAGAAGAGAGCAAAAAGCAGCAGCAGCATAGGGACTTTTTGGAGCTTAGGAAACGGCTTGTTGATTCGCACAGGGACGCTAGATCACTTTGGCTAGAGGGATCGCGCAAACTGTCAGAGGAAGTACTGACTCGTGAATACCCAGAGACATGGTCCAAACGCTCGATGAGTTTCTCGGAAAGGGGTCGAGAGAGGTCCCTTGAATTGGGCGGATATTCAGGCGAATATTTCTTGCCGCTCGATCGTACAGCTACGCCTCTTGAGGCAATCAGGTTCGGGTGGATGTTTCTTACAGAGTGGACCGAGAAAGAAGGGGTAAGGTGGAAAGGCCGGCTTGGGCTATGAATTTGTTTGTTTAATATTATGACTTCCTTTCTTTTGGCACTCTCTCCTTTCTTTAACTTTGCTCACCTCTATTTTTTTACGTCCTCTTATATACCCCCAATAGCTTGTCATGGAGAATTTTCTTTGTACACCTCTTCTAGAACTACTTCGCCAGGATTTATCGAAGTACAATCATCATATAGCAGTGATCTTCCACTTTTCTCAGAAAAAAAATTCCCTTCTTTCACATCTCCTTTATCATTGACCTATTACAGTTTTAAAAATTTTAACATTCATATCCCTCCTCTTCTTTTAAACCTTTAGGCTAATACTTGATGCTGTGTAATTTTTTGGCCTTCCTTTCGTTTCCTTCCAAAGGTAGCTCCGCGAAGCTACACAGTTTCTATGTGAAAGTTGAGACTGGAGCTGATAGGAAACTGCGCGACCGAAAGACTCAGCTGCAAATGCATTGCTTACTTTGTTACTGTGCCTGGATAGAAATTATTAACGTATTTCAACGATTTCATCAATAGATATAATGATCACTACGGGAAAAGGTGTAAGTTGGAGAGTAAATGGGTAAAAACGACGTATTCACGGTGCTTGAGAATCATCGCAAAACAAAAAATCCGAAAAGCAGAATGATAATACAAGAATTAAAATTAACGAAGGAAAAAAAGACAAAAAATCTTCTTCTAACCTTGGTTGATAAATGCCAGATCAACTGGACAACTGTTCCACTCAAATGCAGGCTTCCAAATAAGACGGGAAAGTGAGAATGCAATGCATACATGAATAATAAATATATAACGCGTTTTCTATAGCTATCGCCATCTGACAGAACAAAATGGAATGGCATTACATGTTGTGTTCGCCCGAGTCAACTAAAATAAAACTAAAATAACATTAAGAAAGATCCGAAAAGTCGTTTCGCGGGTCGATAAATGCAAACGCTCACATAAATCAAAGAGAAAACATATGTCAAACGTCGTAATCACCCTCCCCTTCACCTCCCCTTCCACCATTTCTCTCCCCACCAAACAACCATCCAGCCTCCCGACAGTACCTTGCCTCCCTTCTCGAACTACCTACTTCACTAGCCCAGCAGACAACAGCCGCATCCACGACACCGGTCAGCACGCCTTCCATCGCACCCAGGACACCCCAGCCAATAGTACCCGCAATCAGCCCTACAACATATGCGTATAGACTACCTCGAATAGTGGTTGTTCCCGTTCCTGTAGTAGCTAATCGCAGATTGCGAGCGGTAGATACCCACCCGCCGAAACCGAGGCCTAGCGACATTATGAAGCGCGTAGCATGGAGCAGAAGTCTGGCGAGGTGGTACGGGAGGAGAGAGGAACTATTGCCGTGGGTGTCGTTCCGTCCGTTCCGTGAGCTGGAGAATGAGGATGGATTGAAGGATGTGGTTGCCGTTGATGGGGTGAGGAAAGCCATTTGACTGAGGCTGTGCGCGGAGACACCAAGGGGTAATGAGTGGATAGCGCTGTATGTTAGAGCTAGGGGGTTGATGAGCGCGGCGATGGGAGTGGGAACGCAGGAGTATGCGGCTAGAGTTAAAAACGATGATAACCGTCTTGGGAGGATTATCAATGGCAAGCGGATCAATAGCGCGAGGAGTGTTGAGAGGCAGATGGTGCCGAATAATGTGCTGACGGAGTGAACTAATGCTGCCTGCACAATTTGTCGGGATGAAGGCGTTGGTATTGATAACCGGTGGAAATACCACTGACTGACTGTCGCAGCAGTGACGGTCCTTTGGATACTGGAAATCACTCCTAACGACCAGAGATAGACTAGGATGAAGTAAACACCTAGCCACCAGCTTCCCGCATCGATGATGAACACATTTTTTGATGCAGAGATATGGCCGCCAAGGAACACGCGGGCGAACATGAAGATCCAAACCCATGTCCACGAAGCGATAATAACTAAGATGACAAACCCAAGAGGGAGCAGTGCTGGGTTAGATGCGAGGATGCGACACGAAAACTCCAAGATGCTGATCGACTTTCCGATCGCAAGACGGCCTTGAATGACAGAATATACCCATACAGATGCCATTATGGCCGGAACCAAGGAACCCCAGCGCATAACTTTGTCCTGGATGCTTTGACCATGCCAAGTCCCGCCAAAGCTAGATATGTAAGGATAAAGAGCAAACGAGTAGAGTACCACAGGGACGGCTATTAAAATCCCATAGACCAAGGGCCGGACATATGAACGAAGCAGCGCTAACCACAGCAAAGACACCAAAACAGAAATTAAAGTGTATATTGCTAGGAGGAAAAAAGAGGCATGAAGAGTGGCATAAATGGTATCACCAAGGATAGGCCTACCCTCCGGCAGTGACGTATGCAGATAAATAAGAAAAGCTGTAGCAAACATGCCCGCAACAGAGATCAAAAAAAGATTGCCCCAAAAAGAGTCATGTTGGGGAGGTTCAGAACCCGGGTGTGTCATGGATGCCGGAACAGACGATCCACCAGAGCTAAGCGGGCGATGATATTCTAGGAGGGTGCGATTATCTCTTTCCTTGGGGTGAAAGGAAGAGCTAGCTTGAAAATGGTCTCCGGCGACGTCTGGCGGTTTCCGGAACTGCTGAATGGCAGGTGGAGGTTCGTCATTAGCAATACTATCATGCGAGCTATTGCGTTGTACGTTTATCATATCACTCCTTAGCGTATCTTCTAGGCCGACATCAACCATCCGATCTTTCCCGAGAGAGTTGCTACCCGCGCTGCGCCTGTCGTTCCCTTCATTCCCGTCGCTCTCGTCTCGTTGCTCGAATGGTCTGGCTCCCAAGACCGGGGTGGCATCACTAGATCTACTGGCACGCCAGGAGCTCTTGATACCTCCGCCTCTTCCGCGGCCATTGCTATGGCTACTAGCAGAAGCATCTATACTATCTTCAGAGTGCTTGCCATCGTTATCTACTTCGGATGACTCCTCCAGATGCCTGGAGTCAAAATGGCGCCGAGATCTCTGCAAAGCATAAAAATCTGCAATTTCTCGTTCGTGTTCCTGCTCGTCATCTTCCTCTCTGAATTCATCAGCTGCGCTGTAAAAGAGGGGTGCATGCTGTATGGAGGCCCGTGAGGAAAATGGGAAGTGCGAAATGTGAGATGAGCTTGGTTGGTAAGGGTTGCCAAGAGCGCGGTGAAGATAAGATCTTGAGGCTGGATTTCGGGAAGATCCAGGAGCCTGATTAAATCTTCTATTGTGACGGTCTGAAGCTTGTCTATCGTTGTTATCAGGACTGAAAGCTATTCTGGACTGGGACTGTGCGAGGAATCGGGACGCATCTGAGTTAGTTAGGTGGTTAGTGATTTTATGACGTGACTGGGGAGCGTAGTGTGGGGAAGGGCCCTCCATACATTCTGAAAACATAGCTAGCTAGATTCAGTCCAGTCGCGGACATAGAGAGTGGTGTACCAAGGCTAGATGTATGGCGGTATGGCAGTATGGGGGGTTATGGAGAGGAATAAATGGCAGACGGTTACGGGCACACGACCACTGGTGGGAGGATGTGAAATCTTTTTGAAACTGGTTAGTGGCAACGACAACCTTGGGCAAGAAAGAGTCGGTGAATAATTAAAAAGGTCAACATAGATGCGGCACCAGCAAAAGCCCTACGAAAGATAAGACATCATAGAGAGAGGAGGCATAGAGGCCATAGAGAAGAGCAGAGAAAAACGTACAAAGAAGAAAAGAGAAAAGGGATTATAGAGGAAGTTGAGGGTTGAAGCTGAGGAATGACGCCAGGAAACCAGTCACGCCGCAAGTTACTATGACTCAGCAGGCAGCTGCCGGTTGATTAGGTCATCCCCATGTCATGTGCTTCTGCTCATTTGAAGGTTGTTTATCGTAAATTAAACTGAATATATATCCACGGATATATATATTAAATGTCAATGTTACAGGTACACCACCGAGAGGACAGACGGGATTGAGCCACCTGGTTGCCCTGATTTGAGCATCCCCGGCCTCAGGTTCCTCAACTACCTAGGTAGAACTCCATCTCACAGCTTTGGGTTTCTCCCTCCCATCCCACATCTTGCAATGCAATCGCCGTCCAATTCCGCTGCCTTGTCCGATCACCGTCCTATTTCCGAATCTCTACGCAGTATATACGTCTCCGTTGTATTCACTTCACGGTTATTTCCTTCTTTGTAATTGCGACTGCCACTATTTCCCAGCAATATCTTCGGGTTGCTGTCCGAACAATCTGCCTTTAGCTCCTCCTTCGGATAACTTGCAGTTGTGTTCATGTCGCAGCCATGGGATTACATCGCAAAGCTTGTCTGTATTGGCGATTCCGGCACTGGTAAATCCAGCGTGTGCTCCCCTTCCAACTTACATCTCATCTTAGAGTATTTCTATCACATTACGTCCAACTAACCCTTATTTGCCCAGCTCACCATCCGCCTCTGTGAAGGTCGTTTCTCCTCATCCCACGATGTAACAATCGGTGTCGAGTTCGGCTCCCGCATCGTCCCCGTCGGACCCCCAGCCTCGGATTCCTTGGGAATAGACTTTGACCTTCCACAATCACCTTCTCCTACTCCATCATCCCACCTTCCAGTTATCCCCCCACCACAAACGAGAATTGCTAACCCAGCCGCTTCCAACTCCCTCGGTCCAACGACGTTAATAGACGTCAGAGATTGTTCCAGACCAAAACCCTATCAGCAAAAGCCACTACTACAACAACCCTCTGGCTTGCCTTCCCTTCCCCGCAAACAACAATCTCCACCAGTCCAGAAACGTATGAAACTCTCCCTCTGGGACACCGCGGGCCAAGAATCGTATAAATCTATCACTCGCTCATACTTCCGCGGTGCGTCCGGTGCCCTCCTAGTCTTCGACATCACACGACCCTCCACCTTCGCCTCCCTAACGCAGTGGCTGCAGGACCTGCGCCAGATCGCCGAGGAAGGTATCGTGGTCATCCTTGTTGGAAATAAGAGTGATCTTGCTGCGCCTTCTCAAGGGAGAAGTGATGGCACTGGCGACTGCGGTAAACAGCCTAAAGAAGCCATAGTTACAAGAGAGGAAGCGGAGGCTTGGTGCCGAGCGAATAATGTATCTCGGTACGTGGAGACGAGTGCAAAATCCGGGGAAGGGGTTGAAAGGGCGTTTCTGGAGGTCGCGGAGCGAATATACCGGAACATTGAGGCCGGCAGGTATGACTTAAATGACCGGCGGAGTGGAGTTAAAGGGTTTGGAGCTACCGGGGGAGCGGGTGGTGGAGGTCGCCCTCAGAGGACTGTTACACTGGGCGTTAATGATGCGATGGAGTCAGGCAAGGGTGGGTGTTGTTGATCGCATTCGTTTTGCTCTCTCTTTTCTTTATTGTTGTTGATTGTATTTCCTCTCGCTTCTTGGACGGTTCACTCTGCGGCTTTCAATACCCATTTCTCCGGTCAAAGGACTTATATCACTACCGTTGCATGTCCACCCTATGTCTCTCTCCATTATATTTATTAGTTGCGTCACAAACAGTTTTGTTTTTCTTTCCTCATGTTTTCTTTTTCCTATCCCTTCTTGTAACATGGTATGGCTGCCTTCACAGTCGGAGTGGAATATTTTAATGGGAGGGATAATGTTTTATCTCACTCCTACAAAAGTAAAATCCTTATTTTCCACCTAGTTTCATAAATTAAGTAGTTGTTAACAAGGCTTCAGCTGGTAAGTGGATGATTCTACCTGCATTACTACTCTCTTTTGGTTATGTGAAGGGCGGGCGCGATGTTTCTCTGGACGTCTGGACGATCTCTCAAAGGACGCAATCAAATAAACGTAACTATATCCAACACATTGAGAAAAAGAGGGAATGGCAATGTGGAACCCTAGTAAAACTGCTCATTCTAACGGCAATGGTTATTCGATTCCGCTTTGCACCCGGTTTACAATCTACGCAGTTAACTTTTGCACCTAATTTTCTATATATTTCCCAGAAATATAGCAGAAATTGTTTCCATAGTCAGGGTGAACCCTAGATTACCAGCTGTGCAAATATCAACCCTATGTATATCACCCAGTCCTTCGCACTCAATACTATCAACAAGTGGACTAGGAGGAGAAAAGCCACAAATCAATAATATATCTCAAACCCGTGAAACCCTCTATTCTCCAAATTTATTCTTATCCCATTTCTTGTGTTATTTCGGTACCTCCGGATAAGACACGGAACAATAAAAAAAGTAAAAACAAAGAAGTACCACAAATTAGCTTGTAAGATGTTATCAATACATATTCTCTTTAACCGCTTAGCTTTCATATCCGCCCTTTCTGTCTACCAAAGCTCAAATGACTACGCGATCCGCCACGTTTTGAACCAAGCTAGATGCGCCCATTTCAAACTTGGGCCCTCCATGCCAAACACAATGTCACGGAAAAGAACAAATAACCCAATAACAACTGCATAAAACACTACATAAATTGCCCACTCGACCGAACGGCGCAATTTCTGCGTCAACCAATTCATGCAGAAGCCCAAGGATAATATCGTGAAATACAGCGCGGGATAATAATGGTGCACGTAAGTTACGCGTGCCATTGCGACGAAGGGAAAGTAATGCAGGAACCAGCCTATCGCCGGGTACAGGCCGGAGTAGTAGATGTGGTCCATATCGACAAGGCTGAGCTCGTCGTAGCCGCGCTGCCAGCGGATTAGATACCACGCGAGGATTACGCCGAGAACGCAGAGGCTAAGGGTGCCGCCCCAGTAGACGAATGGGTTGCCGAGGAGGAAGTACTTGATAGTGTCATTGTCCCAGGAGCACATGCGGAGACCAACATGAAGGATTGGCCATTGCCAGAATTGCGATGCAAGGTCATCTTGTTTGTCTGGGTCGGGGACAAGTGCGTTGTTCGAGGTCATCATTGCGACATTGAGGTGGATGAAGTCTTTTAGGAAGGGCGATTTGTAGGAACCGGGATCACCGGGGGGCACTAAAAATAGGGAATCATAAATTTACCGACCTCTGAACCAAAAAAAAAGGATGGGTTAAAAAAGCTTACATCTCTCGTTAATATGACTCTCGACATTCCAGTGAGTATAGACGTCCCGGGGATTATTTTGCTTAACGCAGGTGGTTTCAATCTGCTTGAACCCCCACTGTGGGAGATTGACGGTGCCAGCACGAAGGTAACAACCGAGCACAACGTGTCTAAGACGGAACGAAGTTGTCAAAGTTCGAATATTCGACCTGTCTTTAGACGCGACGTCATCGACTACCTCAACGCGCCAGTGATCTTTTTCATCTCCTACTGTTGTATTTCCGTAGCAAGATACTTCGTAGTCACTTTTCGTTACCGGTGCAGACACGGCGTGCGAATGTAGATTGCGACCAGTTTGGGCATGGATGAGCCGGATGACATCCTTGTCACCAACAAATTTCAAGTCACCATCCGGGTTGAAATCAGGTTCCTGGCGATTTGGATAAAAAAACCAGTCATTGTTCGAGTCCTTATGGTGGTAACATGTAACTTGCTGCTGAGTTGACCCTTCCGGGTATGTTTGAACGTGTGAGTGGAGGAGACCGCCGCCATATCCCATATTTTTTAGGGTGGCTTTTGATCCTATCGCGATTTCAAGTGGGCTATCCTTTCCAACTGTTGTGCCTTTCAGGTTAGCCTGGAAAAGTGAGCTCATCTGTGCATCGCCGGGTCCGGAGTTTTCGAGGATATGGAAGTGCAGGTAGAACGAAAATAAGTAGACAAGTAGAGGAATGATGATCAATCCCATAACTCTGGCGGCAAGGTGCTTTGCAAGAACGACCTGTTAATGAACACATAAGTTAGTTTTATTTATGGTGATTTAAAACAAATATGACCCAAGTAAACTGAATGGAACTCTCCGCCTACCTTGGGAATTTTGAGATCGCCAAATTTGTTCCAGAGGTCTTCAGCGGTATACAGTCCAACCAATGCAGTGACGAAGAATCCCACCCATTTAACACTGCAGACACAACCAATGCTTATCCCAGTCAATATGAGCCAGGTGAACCATTCCAGTGAAAAACTTTTATTTTGCAGGCGGTGGAATCGGGCCCAGCACAGGGTAGTCGTGAAAGTAAAACATAACAGCATTGAATCAAGGAGAATGAACCTGGAGATAGTCGCATAAGAGTTCTCGCACAGAACCATCAGAGTGACCAACCAGACAGCCGGGCGACGAAAATCCAGTTCGCGAGCGGTGAAGTAAGCCAGAGGAACACAAACAGCTCCGAAAAAAGAATTGAACAGGCGCATGAAAGTGTAGTTAAGCTCCGGTGGGTATTTCTCTCCAGATTTGAATTCAAACGAGCCATTGTAGCCTGCAAGGTATCCTGAGAGTCCCACCAGCATTTTCCCTAGCGGCGGATGTACATCGAAATAGAACTCCCGCTTCAAGTAATGGGAGCCGAATTTGCCGAAACTATTGGCGTTTACATGGTTGGTTAGCAGGAGGATCGGCCGCGGCCCCGTGTCATGGTTCTATCCTTCCCCTCCTCTCCCAACCAGCATTTGGGGCTCTGGAAGAACTTACTGAGCCTCATCCCAAGTAACAATATCCGAAATACCAATACGCCACATTCGCGTGAAGAAGGAAAATGCAGTGAATACCAGTGGAGCAATAATAAATTCCCACTCATCGAGCACATCGATGAACGTAGACTATAGCGGGGAAGAGGGAGAAAAGGGTTAATTAGATGACACGGAATATGGTTGGAGTGAACGCCTCCAAGAGTAACTAAAGGCATGGACAATCTAAGAATTTCATTTACAATACCTTGCGTGGCGCTTGTTTTTTCTTTTCGTCAGCTTCAAGCGGAATGTTTCTCTTAACCTCTCTGCCATCTTTCTCCGGACCGGGGACGTTTCTTCGACGAAGATCAGGGTTCGGTGAGGTGCCAGTAGCCGTGGCAATCTCGTGGGCTGCCATGACGGGGAGGGAAGATAAAAGAGGAAGTTGATAGGAATGAGGACGGAGGACTGAGATAAAAAGGAGATGCTGGATCTCTCAAGTCAAGACCTATTTGAAATTTTTCCGGAACTGTAGGCAGTACACGATTGGGAACGCAACGGGCCTAGTTGAAGTAAGGATGAACAACAATAGTATCCATCTGAGATATTCAACGTGGCGTGATAGAAAATGGGTTTATTGGCCCCGTTGTTTCCTCTCGCAACGAGTAGCTAACGAGCCGAGTCTTCAAACAAAAGAGGGGGGAATGAGTGAAAGTAACCCGTTATTCTTTCGAGTGAAATCGTTTAAAAACCGAAAAATTAAAAAAAGGGGGGGGGTTGGGTTTGGTTTAATCCGAAGGGATGCAATAGAAGAAATATGCTACTGTACAACGAGGAAACGAGAGAAGATCAAGAAGATAAAAAAACCGCAGAAGCCCAATTGAGGTTATTTTGGATTTGAACCACCCGATCAAGGGACGCGGAACGGAAGGCGAAGAGGGAAGGTGGAGGGGGAAAAGGAAGAAGCAAGTTGATGAAGATGAAGTAGAAGGAATAAAAGAAGAATAGAAAGGGACGAAAAGACGAAAGAAAAAAAATAGAAGAGACGTCGCCGCCGTCCAGGAGGTGGATGAGAATTGTCTGGCGGATGTTTGAAGAAAACCGAAACAAGGAATGTTGGTTGGTCTCTTGGGATTGGGCTTGTTTCGGAGGCCTGGAACTGTACTGCGTACTGTTCCAATGCTGTATGCAGCTGTTTTCCACAACGCTTGACTTGCTATTCGGGCCGTATTACGATTACCGGACACATGTGATATGAGCCAAGGCGGGTCTAGCCGGGGGAAAAAATTATCAGGTGATCGGGGGTATTCTTTGCGTTGGTTCTCGAAGCCGAGCACAAGTCTGTAGAAAGGATGATGATGCTGAGAGAGGTGAGATTCATACCCTTGGATCTGTATTTCACAAAAGGAAAAGGTGTTTAAATAAATGGTATTGCAGATCAGTTTCGGTTCCTTACACCCCGCAACCTGATCTTGCAGTAATGGTCTTCCTTATATGTTTTCACCCCATGTCAAAATGGAGGATGGATAATTGCTGTGTACACCCGGAGGTAAACTTATTCATTGCTATCAACTATGTATTGGTTGTTGTTGCAGTTGAAAAGCACCCCTTTTGAAAAACTAAGTAATTCAATCTTCTGCTTCTTCAAATTAAGTATATTCACACACATCCACTTCACAATTATATAATTTCTAACAATTCCTTAATTCTTAACATTCTTTCACTCTGTATTTTATTATAGTATAATCTTTAATATTTTTTTATTTTAATTTCTTTTCTATAAAAATATTTTTTAGATAACTTTTTCTTTTGATTCTTTTTCTCTTTCTTTTTTTAATTGATTTATAATCTGTATTAAAATGGTGTTTAGTTTATTTATATATTTATTGCAGTTAGTGTAGATAGTATAAACAGTAAATAATATAAATAATATAATTTATAATATTGATTTAATTAATAGTATATTTATTGAGAAATTTTAATAAATTTTTTATCTTTTTTTTATCTGCCATTTTTAGTGAGATTAGATTGACTATATATTATATGTAAAACTATAATCAATTTTAGTATGTAAGCAGCAGTTCAGAAACTAGCTGCTTTTATTACAAAAGATTTTTAAGACTTTATAAAAATTAAGCTATAGAAGATAATACAGTGATATATCAGAGAAAATTTAGATTAAATAATTAGATATCAAGATTGTAGAATATAAAAATCAGATTATAATAGAATGATTCACTGATCTCTAGAAGATTTGTTATAAATCTGTGGCATAAGTCAGAGTTTATTGAATAAGAACTAAAAAGATACAGCAGTGAAACAATCTTTGACTGAAGTAAAGCTGTAGATTATGTAACTGCTCACTCTAATTATTGTATTTATTATAATTATTAATGAGTAAAATGAGCAAGTGAGTAGAGTGAGCAGAATAATTTGTATAAAAACTCAAATATATTTAAATATATTTATTATTCTTAGAATCAAGAAAGCTTATCTTCTTGATCATAATCAATTTCATTTTATCTTGTTTTCTATTTATCTCTACTTATACTCAGTTATATAGTACAACTATAAGCTCATTTTAAATATACTTCTTTATAATGCATATCTTAAGCATCTGCATACTCTGTAAGCTCTACTAGATATTTTTATTATCTATCTCAGATTGCTACTGTAGCTATTACTAGTTATTCTAGATATTTCTTTTAATATTATATCTTAATCTATAATAGTGACACTATCTTCTGACTTAGTGAACAAGCTCAGCAATACTATATAAGCTTTAATTTTATTTTATATTTAGTGAGGAGCTTGCTGAGTTAGTAGACTGACTGTGTGATTATATATGAAACTGAGACTAAAATTTTCCTCAGTTCCATTATCAAATATTTTAGTTCTGATTTTATATAGTGTTTTATAAATTAGTCACTTTACACTGTTTATATTATAGCTCTGATTTTATTTCACTATTTATAAAAAATATTAAGTTTCAAATACTGTTCTTATTTTTATTTCTGAGTCACAGTCTCATTTGATTTCATTTTACAATACAGTATCAAATAAAACTGTGATTTATTTATAATTATATAATTTATATATTATTACATTAAATGATGTCTAAT